ACGTTCAAACCTATGATTGCGTTGGATAAAAACCGCAATTTTTATACGTGTGCATGCAAAACAAATTTCTTGGTAGAATGGTCTAAATACAGCACAAACAACAATTTCCAAAAGACCAAAAAAGTGAAAAAGTATATTTTAACAAAACGCATTTGATATATATAATCGTTCTTGTAACATCATAACTGTCGTCACCGTTAAAGCTTTAGAATTGTGCTAGTTCATATCGCACATTATTATTTTTATTTAAAGCATATATTTGAACTCTCTTTTGTAATTAGTCATATAACCTATGTCGTGTTTAACACATATTTAGAATTGTGCAAGCGTCTTACCTGATGTTCGGTTTGACTTTTTTATTGTATAAATTTCAAGATTGTTATAGTTTAATCTAAGTAGACTGATATATGATTCATTCAACATCACAATCATATTTACTGATGAAGGATATCTGTTATCCGAAATATTTATAAATAATTACATTTATAGTTCCTTTTTTTGTTATTGGTGTTGTTGTGTACACTTTTTAGGCGTTTATATATATATATATATATATATATATATATACAGCCTCTTGACCCTCAAATAGTTTCTAGTATTTATTACAACGTCTTTCGATCAAGTAAGTTATCCACTTAAAATTATCCATATACATTAGCATATATTCATAAATACGTGTACAACATTTTCAACACATGAATAAAGTGTTCAACAGATGTTTCATACTTATAAAACTATGTCAGTTGTAAAATATGTAAAATAACATCACGTATGTGTACTTTATTTATTGTTTTTTCTCCTTCTTTATAAATCACATTTTGAGCGTTCAGTTCCTGGAATTTGCCGCATTTTTAAAAACCGCAAAATAGCTCATGCATACATTTTTGTGTAATCTGGTTTAGTTTGGTTTAAACTGACTATTTAAGTTATAATGAAAATCTGACTTTTCATAGTGTGTTTAACTAATGCTTCCGTGCTTACAAGAGGGTCTGAAGGGGGATCTTCATTTCTGTATTCTTTAAATTTTTAGGCCATTGTTCTCTTAGTTTCTGTATTATTACAGGGGCGTAGGGGATGGTTGGCTAAACTATGTTTTCCTCTCTTAGTTTCTGTATTATTACAGGGGCGTAGGGGATGGTGGAGACCAAATACACCCGCGATTGTGTCAGTATATCAGATTAATATATACTTCTATTGTAAGCAAGTAAGCATATTTTTGTAGGTATGTAAGTAAGTCATTTTAGTAAGTAAATGAAGAGTAAGAAATGAAGTAAGTTAGAAAGTTAGTAACGGTGAAGAATAATGCAATTATAGTGAATGCATGGAAACGGGGAATTTGTAAAAGAGTCAACAACTAGACCAAAGAGCAGCTTCAGCTGGCCCCTTACAATAATGTATACTAGTTCAGCGAAATGGACGCCACACCAAACTCCGAAACATACAAAACATTCCTCGTTTCCATTCTCAATTTTATTTTAAATGAACCAAAATTTAACAAAAAACACACAAAAGATTAATAGACGTTACGCACGGAACTGGTCACACTCAAGAAAAAATACCGTGTCATAAGCAACAATTGGTCACTATATTGTCGTTGCTACTGGAAAACATATAAATTTTACATCAAAATAAAACTGAATGTCTTGGGAATTTATTTTAAGTCTTGAATGACATTTTAATACAAGTGTATGTGAATAAACCGAACACGATTTTAAAAAATAACGTCATTTTTCTCCTGTCCCGCGTTACAAATAGATGCCGATATTTGGGCAAAATGTGCTGAAGATTGGTGATTTTTTCACCAAAAGTCACCATTTTCGGGCAGCGCAACGTTCAACGTCATATTAGCATTGTGACGTCAAAAAATTTGAACACAACCAGTACTAGAAGCGAAGCAATGGGCCCCTGAATGAGATATTAAAAAGTGTCCCACAAGCAGGGAAATATTTTAGCCGAACTTACGGACTTGATTTTTATGAACAGAATACTGATAAGTTAATCAATATTGGTATCATTATTTTGTACAAAGACTCGCCTTTTAAATCATTTATTTTTTTTCTTTGTTGTTACGTCGGTTTACACAGGTCGGAATTTTTCTCATGTCCAAGAATTTGTCACAAGTACAGTTTTCACACATTTTCCGGCACTAATCCGTCGAATGAGATTAAATTAATTTGTTTTATTGAATATTTCCTTAATTCTATTTACCGCTTTAAAAAGTACAAACCTTTCTTCGCATTTTGAGCCTTGAAACATGACAATGCGCCCAGGTTTGCACAAATTACAAACAAAACCGCATGTCCAATAAAATGTCACATACAAAAATGATACATGGAACTCCGTTTTTGAAAGTTACACGTAACGTTACAGACGTTTTTTGTTGTTGATAATTGTCAAAATGATTAATGTATGCATTGTATGGCCTTTCGAGGGCCCCTGATTTGAATAAATGAATTAGTCTATTCAGAAGCGAGAAACAAATTCGCTCCTAATAATTTGTAAATCTGTCCTAATCGTATCTAAAATAAATTATATAATAAAACTTTCATAATTATTTCAGTGAAAAAAAAGGATGTCATCTAAGGAAGGACTTGAACGGTACAAACAAGAAAAGCTTCAAAAGCGACGAGAACAAAGGCTTGAATCTTATTACAGAAATAGAAATCTAAAGGAAAACGAGTATGCTTTATCAGATGAGGCAGTACGCCAAAGACAACATAGAGAAACAAGAGAAAGAACATATGAGACGGGTCAAAGAAACTGAGAGAAAACGGAAATATAGAAAGAGAAAACGTGAAGAAAATATCAATGATCAAAGGCAAAACGAGGATTTAAATATGCGAAATACTTTCGAGAATAGAACAGAAAAACATCGGGCATTGAAGAAACTGAAACTGGCCCTACCAAAGAGCCCAGACAGGCGGGTGACAACCATGGTCGCATACTTGCAAAATTCGAACTCACCGACTGTGAGAAAACTGCAATCTTCTGAAGTGATTTCTTCGCCAGAGGAAATAGAAGAACACAAAACATCAAAAGCCTTGCATTGACGGAAGATTTAAAAACAGTTATTGACAACTGTAAGAGGAAAAGATCGGATGACTCTTTGAAAACGATGAATGTTATTATCTCATCAGTAAGTGGTGAAAAAATCAGTGACAATAAATGCAGAAATAAACTGGCTAGGAAATTGGGATTACCGGTAAGAAGAGTTAGCCGTGGTCATGCAATTAGAACAAGAATACTTAAATCTGAAAAATCAAGCTGGACTTACACAAATAGAAAAACTAGATCAGATGCAATAACATCTGACACGAAGAAACGTATTTATGAGTTCTGGTGTAAGCCTGGTATTTCTCGTCCGACTGGTAACAAGGCAGATATCAAAACGGTTCGCATTGGTCCGAAAACTTATTCAAGCCACATGACACACATACTAGAAAAAATACAGACCGATGTGTATTTGGACTTTATCGGAGAAAACCCCTCTATTAAAATAGCTCAAAGAATGTTCGAAAGGTGCAAACCCTACGTTGTGCGACCCGTCCGACCTAAGGATAGACAAACATGTTGCTGCAAGTACCATGTAGAATTTAAAACTGTCTTTAAATCGTGTATGGAATTCCGAAAGAAACTTTTGAAAGAAAATGAATCGAATGAATGCTATTCTACTCCTGTGTACGATTCAATATCTGATGTCGTTAATGCAACATTATGCGAAAAAGTTGATGGTTCACACAATTTACAGTGCCTTAAAAGAAACTGTTCCGATTGTGGAGTTAAAATCTTGAATTTTCTGCCTTGTGAACTTGATGTATCTGACACTGCGGAATTTGTAAAGTGGGAAAAGTTTGAAAATGTAAGCGTTAATGTTAAAGGGAACAAAACCATAAAGAAACTAATGCTCGTGAAAAAAGAAAGTCAAGTTGGTGAATTGTTTTCATATTTCAGCACAGAGCTACATGGCAAAATGAACAATTTCAAAATCTTGTTAGAAATCTCCCAGAAAAGCAATGTGTTTGTGTGCATAACTTTAGCGAAAATTACAGGTGTTCCGAGCTTACTGAGATTCAAAGTGCTTACTTTCAAAAAACCGAAGTTTCGGTCCATGTTACTATTCTACATAGACATGCATTGCTAGAATACGATGGTGTTGATAGTTCAGAAGACTTTCCTGAAATTATCACGGAACAATTTTTCGTTATAAGCCCAGACTTAGTTCATGATCAATACTTTGTTCACCAAGTCCGAAATTATATAGCGGAATATTTACAGTCGATTTCATATTCAGTAGAAACAATGCACGAGTTTACTGACGGGTGTGCAGCCCAGTATAAGAGCAGACACTGTTTCGGAGATATTAGTCAAACAAGCGACGACTTTGGATATCAACATTTCACAAGAAATTTCTTCAAAACTTCCCATGCAAAAGGTATTTATAATAATTTAGTTTATTATCCTCGAACTTACTACTATGATTGCCTTTAAATACAGTTGAATGTCAGTCCGTCTGTCAGTCTCTACGCTAGATATCTTGGACACAGATTTAATGATTTTTCTCACATTTTCGAGTACAATGGAATACATATTATTTAGCTTTTGATTGAGTTATTTGTGTAAAATGTAAATATTTTAAAAGCGGTCGAGTATTCACATTATCGGTAAACTGTTTTCTTTCAATCCGTCACATTATGGGTTAATGTTTAAAAACATTATTCTAGAAAGTTTTTTTTTTTACATGTTTTTTTTACTATATCGAATTTGAAATAAATGTATTTTGATAAAACATGTGCGTCGGACTAAATTACACCTGACACAAAAATAAATACGTTGTATCAAGGAACAGGGCTTTTATTTCTGTTCTTCATCTTGGCAGTCGCTGTAGGGTATTCAATGTATCTCTTATATTTCTCGTGACTTTCGGTATTGTTACTATTATAAAAATCATAAACCTTGAACGCGGTAAAATGGTAAGGTCCAATGTCATGCAGTTGACATAAAAAACTTATCTGTGCATTTCAGGACCACAAGACGCTGCTGGAGGAATTATTAAGAGACAAGCCGACTGTGCCATTTTACGCGGACAGACTCAGATAAGGACAGCAAAAGATCTCTATGAATACGCGAATTCATTTCTAACACAACCGAGGTCACATTGTAAGAGAAGAATATTCCGATATGCGGAAACGATTCACCGTGACAACAGACTGTCTTTTAAGCCGGTGCCTAGCATTCGATCTCTTCAACAAGTAAGAGCTAGTCGTGATTCTGCTAAAGGATTGATAAATATCAGTGAATTGTCTTGTTTCTGTGTAAACTGTTGTCATCACATGTATGACCAGTGTTCTAATTCGATAAAAACTGATGGTTATACTGAATGGGAAATGAAGAGAGAATACAGAGCGGATGCACAAGAAAATGAAGAAAATGAACAAGTGTCTTTGCAAGAATTAGTTTCGGTTGGTCAATTAGTTGCGTTATATACTGACGACGATGAGGAGGAGTACTACATGCTGAAAGTAGAGAAAAGCATGGAAACGTTACGCATTGACACAACGGATTCTTGGGGATCTTTACTCCCTGCGGGAACACCTGTATTTCGTGGTCTATATTACAACAAAACGAACTCGCCTTTTCAATATCGTCTTGTGAACAGGAAAGCGGTTGTACCGGCTGCGTCAGTGGTCTATATTTGTTCGGAAGTAACCGCAAACAATGTCATTCGAATCACAGAAGAAACACATTTAAATGTTTTAGAATGTATTAATGAAATAAAATGCTAGAAATTTATTAATCAGTATTTATCCCTATAAAGAAACAGTAGTTATAGAAACCAATAATATATGAAAATATATACATGTACATGTAGGGAATGCTTTAAAGAGGTAAAAACGAATGGGGGACAATCGTGACAAACATAAATTCATACGTTCGTTTAACAACAAGCGACTTGGATAAAACGTCAGTCAAAAAGTGTATTTCGACGTTATTTTGATGTAACGTCAGGCATCACCAGTATCGTGCGTAACAAACGTGGCGGGGTTAAACATATTTTGTGAGATCTCAACGTACCCTCCCCAATACCTCTAGCCAATGTGGAGTAAACAAGCTTAGCACATAGCAATACGCACAGTAAAACTCAGTTAACCAGAAGTCCGAGTCCGATGTTAGAATAGGGGACAGAAGAAACTAAGCAAAATGACAATGATCAACATAGATTAACAAAGGACTACTAGCAGTTACTGACGTGCCAGCTCCAGACTTCAACTAAGCTAATCGAAAGATTATGGTTTCATCATATGAAAAACAACCACAATCACTCCCGTTAGTGGTTTAGTGTTATGCCATCATAAGTATACAAATTATAATTTCTATATCTTATCTATCGCCAGAAAGATTTAAAAATTTCAGCCAGGAGACATTTTAGTATTTTTCTTCTCCCAAATGTGCAATGGTTTCACTTCATAAATTTGGTCTTTGATTTTCTAACTTAACACCTTTATTGCACGTATCATAAACAGAAAGATTGTTTTTATTTTTACTTTCGTAAAGTGTAAAATTTGTAACAAAAAATATACGAAGTATGAAAATGAGAAATCTAGTAGAAAACGCGGGATATAGAGTTGTTGGCCCTACTGTTGAATTTTTGTCGCGAGATGTCGCATTAACGATCTATATTAGTGGTTTTCATAATTGAAGAGTTCGTCGTCTCGAATGTACACAACTTTGTCATTGTCTCCTTTTAACAGCTAACAAACCAACGATGCCTGCAAATAACAGGTTCTTTTTATTGAGTTCGATGTCACACTCTTACACCCCCAAATAAATCCATTTAAGAGCTTTTTCAGATATGAAAATTACGATCTATTTCACAGACACAGGAATCGTGCATGATCCTGCAGTCTCAGCTCAGCTCATTCTTGATCTACATATCCAAGTGTTTAAATTTTAGATTTTTAAAACATTATGAAATATAGGAGATATGGTATGAATGCCGATGAAACATCTATTCATAAAGACCACTGAATCCTGTTTCATAAAGATACCACACATTGACACAACCAAGTAGCCACCAAAATTCCACAGTACTATCTTGTTAACAACAGAGAAATGTGACATTGACGATATCAGGTCCGTTAGGTCTCATAATATGTTCGCACCCTACACATTCGCACTCCACGCATTAGCACCCTACACCTTCGCACTCCATGCGTTCGCCTGCTGGGTTCATACGCACCCAATTTTTAATTCAAATACAGTTTGAATTATTAGATTTTTTAAGATGTTTATTTAAAATATTTATATTCTCATGAATACAAGTTTTTATGCCCCCGCCGTACCGGAGGGGGCATTAAGTTTTACCCTTGTCCGTCTGTACGTACGTACGTACGTCCCGAAATTGGTTTCCGTTCTCTAACTTGAGTTTGCCTCAACCAAATGTAATGAAACTTATACACAATGCTTATTACCACAAAACACAGATCAAGTTTGAATTTTGGTGGCGTCACTTTAACCGATCTAGAGTTATGCCCCTTTATAAAAGGAAATATTGCATAATTTTTAGTTTCCGTTCTCTAACTTAAGTTTGCCTCAACCAAATGTTATGAAACTTATACACAATGCTTATTACCACAAAACACAGATCAAGTTTGAATTTTGGTGGTGTCACTTTAACCGATCTAGAGTTATGCCCCTTTATAAAAGGAAAAATTGCAAAATTTTTATTTTCTTCTAAATATCAAGTTTATATAATATATTTTTAAAATTGGAGTTATCTTCCTTTGACCATGATTATAGTTGAATCAACTACAATCAATGCTTTATACAATGCAATGTTTAATTTTGACTACCACTGATAAAACACAGATCAAGTTGAATTTGGGTAGTGTCACTTTAACCATTATTGAGTTATGCCCCTTTATAAATAGAAAGATTGCAAAATTTTTTAGTTTCCATTCTGTAACTGAAGTTTTCCCCAGCCAAAGATTGTGAAACCTATACACAATATTCATTCCAACAAAACTCAGTAAAGATCAAGTACATTTTTTTTGTTTCAGTTCTCTAACTTGAGTTTGCCTCAACCAAATGTTATGAAACTTATACACAATGCTAATTACTACATAATACAGATTAAGTACGAAATTAGGTGGCAACACTTTTACCATTCTAGAGTTATGTCCCATTATAAACATAAAAATTGCTGAATTTTTTAGTTTGTCTCATCCAAATGTTGTAAAACTTATACACAACCGTTCTAGAGTTATGCATCATTACAAATAGAAAAATTGCTGAATTTTTAGTTTCTGTTCTCTACTTAAGTTAGCCTCAACCAAATGTTATGAGACTTACACACAATGCTTATTACCACAAAACTCAGATCAAGTTCAAATTTGGGTAGTGTCACTTTTACCGTTCTTCAGTTATGTCCCTTTATAACTATATGATATGCAAGCGGGGGCATCATCTGTGTCCACATGTGGACACTATCCACATTTATTTAAATGAAGTATTTTTTTTCGTGATTAGATGGTTAATTATTCATGATTACCGTTAATTGGTATTTACAAAGCTAATTTGGTATTATTCATATTGTTATGAGTTGGGAAATTATGATTGTTGTTATAACTAGCTTTGGTCTGGGAACAGTATATCTAACGGGAAATGAATCTGATACGCTTTTCAGTATAAAATTGATAAAATCTCGGACTCCCCGAGACTTCCCGAGATTAACGGATTTTGGTAGCGTCTGATTGAAAAACTATCAGAACTGCTCAACAAATTAACCACATAACTCTAATTGTAAATAAATACAAGTTTTATCATTTAGTAGATATATTTTGTCATATAAAATTACCAAAATAAGTTTGATTTATTTGATGTGAAGTGTTTTAATATAGTTTGGGAATTTGTAAATCATCGCGGCAATGGCCGCCATTTTTTTTATTACCTTGTTTGCATTCTGCACAATTCTGTGATGAAATGCTTGCGATTTTAACAAATTTGAAGTGACAGAATACAAGTTTGATACACTAGCATCACTATAAAACTAGTTTGAATGACATTTTATTGATAATATCAGAAATTATTAGGATAATAGCGAGTCCGTTTTTAACACATGTCCGTTTCTGTATCGTATCTTTATTAACTATGGCACGACGATAAAATCGACTACAATCAGTTAGTGTCAAGTCCCGTCAATATATATGTTCCTGCTTTGGTGTAGTTACTGAATATTCTAGTTATCTCTTTGATTTGGAATAGTGCATGATTTGAATGATTGTGTGAACTGGTGATATTGCTTCAAGCTTCAATATCATTGTGACTAGTTTGATGACCGTTTGATGTTTTCCGCATTTCTTTTACAAGTCTTGGATGAATGAACTAGGCCTTTGATCATCATAACAATATTCATTTTTCATTTCGTCAAAATAATTCTCAAAACACTAAAAGAAAACTGTTTTCTAGAATGTAACTTTATTGTAAAACAATAAAATCTTATTATCTTTATTTTAAAGCAATACACTAACTAAAACACGATTAAAAATGATTAAACACAAAACCTTTAAAAGGTGAGGGGGGGGGGAACTTGTAGGGTGCGAACGTGAATGAGGGCGAACATGAATGGGAGCGAACATGTTTTTTGGCGAATGGACTAGGATTCGACATTGTCACTCATAGTCCAAATAATTATGATGTCTTGAAAGGCTATTTAATTTTTTTGCTGTGGTTGCCTTCCTATGACATCTCCATAATTATTTGGACTTAGTCACTCAGTCAATATCATGCAGCCACAATGCATACCTCTGAATAACTACACAGCTTTTACACAATAATCGCTGTGATGTAACATTTTGTGCTGATGTTGGGTAAACCAAACAATCACTAATCAATACATCGGACTCTGACTTCTTTTAAACTGAGTTTAAACTCTGCGTATTACTATGTGTTTGTTTATTCTACATTGGCTAGAGGTATAGGGGAAGGGTTGAGATCTCACAAAACATGTTTAACTCCGCCGCATTTTTGCGCCTGTCCCAAGTCAGGAGCCTCTGGCCTTTGTTAGTCTTGTATGTTTTTTAATTTTAGTTCATTTATATGTTTTGGAGTTTAGTATGACGTCCATTTTCACTGAACTACATGTAGTACACATTTTTGTTTATGGACCAGATGAAGCCTGCCTCCGAGTGCAGGATTTTCTTGCTGTGTTGAAGACCCATTGGTGGCCTTCGGCTGTTTTCTGCTCTTTGGTTGGGTTGTTGTCTCTTTGACACATTCCCCATTTCCATTCTCAATTTTATCAATCTTCACAAGGACAATCTAAGAAAGGAGCCAACATCTAGGAAACATCTTAACCAAATGAGACGCTGACAACTGACACCTGACACTCTCTAGTCTTACATCCATCCTGAGACCTTGAACACATGGAAGTTGTAGAATACTATACATGTAACATTGTTTTTATCCTGTGGCAGCCATACTTTAATTTGTATATTGAATTTTTCTTTTTTCCATTGGTCACATCTTGTACATGATAGTATATTCCTTTGTTGACTTACAAAGAAAAAGTAAAAAGATGGGAATTACAATGATAATTTATTTGCATATATTACACCCATATGGGTGAAGCAAAAAACTCAAAATGTAATACAATTTTAACATATAACAGTCAAGAATTACTAGTTTAAAAACATAAAACAAATACCATGAATACACAGTTATGTTAATGTAACTTTTGATGAACATGGACCTCATTTTCGCAACTATACATTTCACCACGGTATAAATATGAAAGTAAGGAGCAATAATATGATTGTCAATAAAACAGCTATCACAAGACAGAGGTGGATTAGGGGGCAGGGTGCCCTGCCCCCCCCCCCCCCCCCCCCCCCCCCCCTCTTTTGTGAGAAATTTGGTATCATCACGATTCACAATTTAATTTTTGTGTCAATCACGATTCACAGAAAATAAATTTCCATGATCACTGATCAGGAAAATATAAAAAAAAAATAAATCTGTAGAAAAACGGATCATGATAGCGAAAATGTGCCTATCACGAAGAACGAAAATAACCCATCAGGCCCCTCCTGTATCACAACTTGACCTAATTTGTGTCTCAGATTTGCAGATTACTGTTTAAACAGTTGAACTGCAGTACAGTAAAGTTGGAAGAAAGTATAGGTACTCAAAAAAGCATTCTTTTATTTTTATTGGTGATATACCACATTTACCAATATATGCCATACATGTATATTCAAATTTATATATTACAACTCTTTGGCAAAGAAAATAGCTTCCTACGTATACGTACCTTGAAAATGCTTGAAAGATCATCACTACATGTATGTTAAACACCCATCTATCATGATTTGATATTTTAATCTATTTACAGATAGAAAATTGAAATAGGATGGCATCTGTAAAACACAAAAATGACAAAAAGTAAGTATATTTAAATACTGGTAGATAAATGGGGCTCTAATGATAACCTTAAACACATGTTTTAAATCTCATCTTCTGCATTTGAAGAAACCCTCTAAATGTTCTCTTTTTAAAATGCATCATTAAAATCTGTCTTCTGAAAGTGATTTGAATCTCAGTGGATCTTGTAGTGTTATGGCCTTTCCACTTTTATGTACTGTTGTATTGTTTACATTGAGTTCATTTTAAATATATACAATTACTGAAGGTTTAAAGGCAGATGGTTGGTTGAACAACAATTTGACTTTTTAACTTCCTAATGATTATTTATATAAAAATAAGGAGTTGTGGTATGATTGACAATGTGACAACTATCCACCGAAGTTCAAATGAAGTAGATGTAAGCAATTATGGCAACAGTACGGCCTTCAACAAAAAAAAAAGCCATACTGAATAGTCTGCAATAAAAGCCGTGACATGAAAAATATGAAACAATTCAATTGAGAAAACTAACAGCCTTATTTATAACAAAACAATTTACAAAAAACAAATATGACACACATGAAACAACAACAACCACTGAACTACAGGCTCCTGACTTGGGGCTGTTCCATAACAACATACATAGGACCCAGGGAAGGTACTTTTAAATCTCAACTATGGGTGGGTGTCATCTATGTTTTTGCATAGTGGAAATGTAAGTGAATTTGCTTCTATAGGTGGTTACCCCATTTTTAAAGTGCCTTCCCTGGGTACCATGTATGTTTTAATGGAACAGCCTTCGGACAGGCACATACAGAATGTGGCGGGGTTAAACATTCGTCCATCAAATATTTCCATCACCATTTTTTCAGAAACTATTTAAAAGTTTGACTTCATAGTTGGTCAGCATCCCATCCGTGACAAGTCGTAATGTGTTTGAGCTTTTTGGATCTGTTAGACACCTACTTCCTGTTTTCCTATACCTTGAATTACAAGTGGAGGATATGCTTAGAGCTATAATTCATGCATACTTATTTTACGTTTTTAATGGACTCATTAAAGACTCCCGCCACATTCTTTATGTATGTGCCTGTCCCAAGTCAGGAACCTGTAATTCAGTGGTTGTCGTTTGTTTATGTGTTACATATTTGTTTTTCGTTCATTTTTTGTACATAAATTAGGCCGTTAGTTCTCTCGTTTGAATTGTTTTACATTGTCATTTCGGGGCCTTTTATAGCTGATTGTGCCGTATGGGCTTTGCTCATTGTTGAAGGCCGTACGGTGACCTATAGTTGTTAATTTCTGTGTCATTTGGTCTCTTGTGGAGAGTTGTCTCATTGGCAATCATACCACATCTTTTTTATATCAACTTTTCAGAACCTTATTTTTTGTTTCTATATTGTGTAAAATTAACTGTTAGAAGTGGAGAAAAAAGTTGTATTGAGAAGGCTGATGTTTTAGAACTTTATATTTCTAAAGTGAATCAATTAAAAATATCATCATACATGTATTTGTAATTTTCTTCAGGTTGTTCCAGTTGAAAAAAGAAAGTAAGAAACTGCATGCTGAAGTTGAGGCATTGGAAGATGCTCTCATGCTACATCAACGATACAAACATGATAATGACACTAGTGTTAGAGGTCTACTGAGGTAAAAATAAAATGCAGGCAGGAATTAAGAGGGGCTAGAATAGTGGGTCATGTTTCCCTCAGATGACAAAAATCTAAAAAAAACATATGTATTACATCAAGGATGTACTTACGTCAGGTTAATAATTTTTTGTCAGATGTTCGGACTCATTGGTTTTTTTCCTAAGATACAGGGTAAAATATTTTGCCCCATAACACCCATTTTTCTTTTCATATAGGACTTCAATAGCTCATAAAAGGTTGTTTACCAAAATTCTAGATTTCTTTTCTTTCAATTTGAGACCCAAATAATACCAATGCAAATATAAGGTAAAAGTCCAAGTCAGCCTTTTCCCGCCATCTTTTAAAAATCAAATATCAAAAAAGGAGTTTCATAACCTATCAATATTTTTAGCTTATTTTGTTCCTTTACCAATGCTCTTCTGACTTATAGTATCAATTTTAAATTCTAGATTTTTTTAATTTCACCTCTGTATTTGGAAGCAACACATTTATATGAAATAAGGAGATGTTGTATGATTGAACATGAGACAACTATCCAACAGAGTTCAAATGACGTGGATTTAAGCAAACTATGAATGTCTCAGACGCTTTTCAGAGGATCTGGTTTTGAGGGGGGGGGGGGGTAATTTATTTATGTATTCTCTAATTTTTATAGGTCTATATATTTTAAGCCTATTATTCTCTATTCTGTATTTTAGATTTTAATACCCTATTATTCTCTATTCTTAATTTTTTGGCCCATTTTTCTGTAGATATGGTCCCTTATTCTCTATTCTGTAAACCCTATCCAGATCCTCAGATAAGATAGCCAAAAAAAGAAAAACCAAGCAAACAAATAGATTTGGAGCTTAAAAACCAGGACAGAACATTCCTCAAATGTACTGCACCAACAACGATTTAAGTAAAGGTATCTGAACTTCATTTTTATACTTGTCTTACATTTTTTCTATTGAAAACAATAGCTCTACTAAATACACACAATTAGAAAAAAATATTTTAGCGAAAAGTTTGATTTACATACACTATTTTGATTTTATATTTTGCATTTCTATTTATATTAGAAAAGAAATTGGAGGATCCATTTGGCAGCGTGGGGGATCAGGTAAATTACATTCATACAGGACTGCAAATGACTTAGAAGAATCGGAAAAAAATGTTTCAGAATCAAGAGTAAATAAAAGACGACAGAGGAGAAATAAACAATATGAAGCTAATCAAAAAGAAAATGAAAAAGATAAAGTTAATTCAAAGCAGAATGAACTGGTTGCAAAATCTGTAGGAGTTCCAATCCATAACAAAAATGGGGATAGTGCTAATGATGAAAGCATGGACAACAAAGGTAAACATGGAAACCAGAAAGACCATGTGACAAAAACAACCAATGGATTGAAAGTAGATTCAAATTTTGAAATTGAAGCTGAAAAGGTTTCCATTTTGAAGAACAAAGTTTTAGAAAAAGCAAGTGTAGGTGTGATTCATCGAAAGCATACTACACCTAAAGGACACACGGATTTAAAATCAAATTTTGATTCAAATAAAAATTCTTCGAAAATTTCAAATGAAACTCCTGCCAAACTTCAGTCAGCTTTAAAAAATGTTGACAAGTCAAAGCATGACAAATATGATGATGTACAAAATATGAGAAATATAACTAATCAAAATTCAGAGAAATTACAAAATGATGGACTACTTAGGGGGAAGCCTCCAAGTACCAAACTAAAGCAGACCAATATCAAACCTTCACAAGCATTAGAAAGGTGCAGAGATAATGAAGTTTTTAAAATATTATCAATGCCTAGCAACCAAAGGCCTGATCAGTTACCTAGCAACCAAAGATCAGACCTGGTACCAAAATCAGTTTCAGGAGAAAATATGGTGTCTAGTCAAAATGAATCAAACAATTCTAATAGGGAGCAAACAATTTCTAAATGTGATCCTCTTGTGAAAGATTGGATTCAAAGCTTAGGACTTATGGAAGAGGAGAAGTATTTGAAAATGTTTGCAGAAAATGAAATCGATATGGATGAAGTTTCTCAACTAACAGCATTACAACTGAATGAAATAGGAATTACAGCATTTGGTGCATTGAATAAAATTCTCAGAGGTATAAAAGAATTGAAACAAACAAAAACCTCATTGGAAGTAAGACCAACCAAAAATCTTTCATCTAGTCTGGATTTCAAAAACGTTTTAAATATAGAAAATGAGAATAGACAGTCCAAAACTTTAGGTCATACTGATCATGATTTGAAAAGAAGTATGACATTTGAAGAGCGTTTAAGTAATATGGATCAGTCAAGGACTAATTTACGAAGATCCAGAAGTTTTGCAAGCTCTGCATCAAAAAGTTTGTATTCTTCAAATACTTTGCGAGCTTCGCTTGATGATGGCATGGCAGAGAGAATGAAGAATGAGAAGGCAAATCTGAAAGACACAAATTTTGAATTAAATACAATGTCGGTTGTGCGAAAAAGTGTGAATTCTCCTGTTCAAAATATGGAGAACCTAAAAATCACTGATAAAGACAATCAGCCAGTCCAAAATGAAGAGAAAGTTAAAACTCTCAGAAAAAGATCCAATTCTCCAGCTAGAAGACTGGCTAGCAGTCCAGCAAGAAGGAAGACTAAACCTGCAGACAAAGCTGCTGATTCTGATGTCCCACCTAAAAAGAAATGTGACAATGCTCAAACAGGACAGAAGAGTCCATTCTCCAGGCAGGGGAGTGATGTTGGTGAAAAGAAGAGCACACTGAATAGACAAAAGAGTGCTAAATCTAAAAATACACCCGTTCTCTGGCCAAGAGCCAAATCTGCACAGGTGGCTGAAAAGAAGGCTAAGGAAGGTAATAAGAAACTATGAAATATTTTATATATTGAAACTAAAACTATGAATAGATTTAAACATATCTTTAATTGTAAGAAGTGGTTACTGTAAATTCAGAAATGTTAGGAATGTTTTTATTTAAAATTACTAAGCATTTGCTAAGGGATGGGTTTTAACATGTTTAAACATGTAGTAAAAAAAAAAAAATCACATTTAAAATTTTTATATATTTGATATTTGAAAAAAAGTTCAGATAGTTACTAGTATGTAAATAGAATATTCAACATTAAGAATAGAGGGGCAGCACGTATAAAATACTGTTATTGTAAGATCATATGAATAGAAGCAAAAACACATCAAATAAGTGCATCCTAAGCATGATTTTGTTGGTTTACTATCTACTAATTAGGTTTTAAATTTACATATATATATATTGACTTTATGGTTAGAATTTCGTCAGAAATTTAATATACCATTATTGAATTGTCATGATTGTAATAGCTATTTTGAAATTTGAAATATTTGGTAGACAGTCAGCATGGTCAGTAGTCAGCTTGTTGCAGAAATGTGTTTACTTTTGCTCGTCCTCCATTTTTTGCCTGACTTTAAATATGTCTCCAATGTTCATACACAGAAAAACGTTGTCTAACTTAAAGTATGCTGAGTTCATACACAAATAGTTGTTAGACAATAATTACGTATAAATGATTCAAATCTATATTTTCTGGACCTTTGAGAAATCATCCCCTCATGATTGACAGGACCGGAAATTTTTAACATCTCTGATTGTAGGGACATGTTACAAATGCTATATAATTTACAGCTGAAGTATATCATGTATATGTTTATTTGTTAGTATCAAGTAGTCAGGTATGCTGAATTAAAAGTCCCATCACAGTATTCTATATAATTCACCGACATAAAATATTGTGGATTCATTATCATTTTTTGGGTATCAATTTTCATAGATTGTGTAGGAATAGGAAAACCACAAATTATGGTGTTCGCAGAAATTCAATTTGTGTATCAGCTATGGCAAAGCCATGAAATCAAAATATACACAGGAGAATATAATATTTTCATGATGTTTTGATTCATGAAAATTGGTACCCACAAAAAAAAATGAATCCACAGTATACAGATACATGTAGACCTTTTCCACATTACCTGGCAGCAAAGTAACACATCAAGGAATTCCACATTTTAAAAATATACTGGTACCTACAAATTAAATATTATATATATTCTTGCCTTTCATAGCATGCATACCATCATTATCATGATTATTAATTCACATACATGTACATGTAACTTTGACATGTTTTAATATATGTTTATCTCACCAGCATATGAAAAGATTTCGTCTAGCAATAGCATACATTTAGATACTAGCCCTATTGCATTCAAGATACTCCAGTACAGTTACCATTGTAAAAAAAATGTATGTGGCTATCATGGCTATTAAAATATGGAATTTATAATATATTTTCAATAATAGGTTTTATAAATATCTATTTTAGTAATTCAAGACCCAGTTTATAAGTATTCTATAATGAAGGGCAGATGGACCTTTTTGGGGATGTCAGGATTTGACTTTTTTTTTGCAAGATCAGGCATGTCAGGATTTACATCTATCTGCACTCAGGAATTGAAGATGTATTTTGGGATCCTGGAAAGAATGCTTTATTTTTTTTTCTGGAATTGGGGATGACACTAATCTTACCCCCCCCCCCCCCCCCCCCCCCTCCCTTATATTAGTAACATCTGACTTTGTTGATTAGTTTTATGAAATCAGATCAAGTGGAATAAGTAAGAATATGACTCCTAGTCCTGTAGGCCTACGTTATGTGTAATGACTATTGATAACTTACACTTTAGTTTTAGTTACACTTGACCTATCAAGAAGTTGTTTTGAATATATAACACAAGATACAAGCAAATATTAAAGTGCATAATACATGTAATACATTTAGAGTATACGTATCCCCTACTCATATATCTCTGTAAGGAGGAAGGAGGAAATTATGTTTTTGGAAAGTACATGTAAACTGATAAATGCGACTTATTGTACAAATGTATTTAATCATTAAATCTTAAAAAAATATAAAACAAAGTGTTATTTATGATGCCTCTTTCAATGGATTGGGCCTGAAATAAAAAACCATGAAACTGAAGTTTGAACTATAATAAAAATCAGGTATTCAAGTTCTCTGTATTAAAAATTTAAGTACAAATACTAAGAATTTATACAATATTTTATAAAAACCTTAATGTAATACAATCCAGGGCCAAATTCATGCTTTTTTGAAAAAGGGGGGGGGGGGGGGCATAATTCCAGAAAACTTCAATATAAAATATTTTTTGGCAGATTTTTATACTGAAAATTTTATATTTCCCCATCAAAGTTTTCCCTCTTTGCACACACACACCCATCCTTAATGTACCACTGCAATTGTTATGAAGGGATACGGAAAATTAATTCAATCAAAATATTTAACAAGCACTAGACAAAATTATTTGCCAATAAGTGGGATTTTTATTAGTGTTCTTAATCATAAAGTCATTAGAATACCTTCAAGTTTAATACAGTCGGTAGCTTTCTAGTTATCAATCAGGCTACATACATGTATGTACATTGAAGAAGACAGAATATCAACAAATTACACAGTGTAACAGGCCAAGAAACTAAAAGTCACAAATATCATTATTAAATGACCCAAGATTCTTAATTGTAAAATATGGTACAGTAATAATACAGTCATCAAAACAACCAAGATATTTGCTTCTAAGATATGTCTTAGATGATGTAGCTATAAATGATTCATGATAAGGACAAATTATTTGGATATGGTCTGCATAACAATTTTAATAAAATGGAAATGGAAACTGAAGTGCAAGTAAACAATGAAAATAGTGACATAAAAAACTTTAATAGGTTCACTATCAAACAAAATTTGTAGAATTTCTCATATGATGGGGCTGAGTGTTGATGTTTTATTAGATATACTACTTATTCAATTTTTACCATACTTTTTATAGGGGTTGCTGCAGCAGCTAAAAAATTTAATGAAAAACAGAAACAGATAATAGAAAAGGAAGAAAAACACACAAAAGCAAAGAAAATAAAGAAGGTACAGAGAGATGAAATGGCAGCAAGGCATGAAAATAGACAACAGGTATATTTAAAGATACTGCATTTATTTTGCAATCAGGTGTTACCCGTAACAAGCCTGGTAATTCAGCCCTTTCAATCTTCAAGATAGACATTTGTGGCCACAGGCCTGATGCTCATTTTTGAAAATTTCGTATAGATTCTATATGTGTGTACTTCTATTACAGATATGTTTAAGTATTTCGAATACAGATATATATGTGTATTTGAATTACAGGTATTTGTGTATATTTCCATTACAGATATATATGTGTATTTGAATTACAGGTATTTGTGTATATTTCCATTACAGATATATATGTGTATTTGAATTACAGATGTATGTGTGGGTATTTCAACTACTGATATTTGTGTGTATTTCAACTACAGATATGTGTGTGTATTTCAGTTTCAGATATGTGTGTGTATTTCAATTACAGGACAAACAAAATTTCCAGCCATTGTCAAAAGTATATGAAAACTTCTAATGTGACTTTCTTCTTCAAACACTTTGAGTACACACCCAACAATAACATGTATGTACTGATCAAATAGTATATAGAAACTTAACAATGCCATAGGTAGAATTTTCCGCATTAGAATCATAAGGACTATGGGTAATTTCATTTTTATTACCCCAAAATGAAAATAATGTATTGTCATTGGTTGAATTTCTATTATTTAGGAATTGATAGCCAATGAAAATATTTTGGTGTATGCTTTTGAAACTATTACCCAATATGCAGTTGTAAAACCACCATTGTTTTTCCCTTGTTAGTCTTTGTTAAATTTGCACTTTTCAAAAAATTGTGCAGAATTTATCAAATAAAGAAATACTTGGCATGAGTAAAGTTTTATCCTGTCCAGTACTATAGACAAAATTTCACATAACATTTCATTGCTTATAAGAAAATAACCATCACTGGAAGTTAACCAATCAAATGTTCACCTTTTTTTTCCCTGTGTACAAGCTTTAGTAACCATGTAACCTCAAGTTTCCAAAATATTCTATAGAAACCCCAAATAAACTGTCAAATTTAAGAGAATATTTTTTTCGACCCTTTTTCGTATGCAACCGGATGTGATGTACTATGATTTGGTGGTATTACACTTGAAATAGATTCTGAAACAGGAAAGCGTCTGGAAAATTGTTATTGAAATGATTTAATATAATTTTCAGGCTGAAATTGACCAAGAAGATGACATGGATGATGGCAGAGTAGATAAACTAGACAGAGAATATGAGCAGGAGAGACTGGTGATATCAGAACTTGATCAGGACATCAGTAAATTGATATCTGTCACAGTGTTGGATCCTGTCAACAAGAACAATGGTATTTAGGGAACGACCATTTAACTTCAAGGGGGAGCGAGGGGTTATGGTTTTTTCTTAAAAAAATATTCTGATCCCCAATTTGATGAAAAAAAAATATTGTGGTCAAGCAGATGACAAAAAAAAATATTCTGAATCCAGATTTTTTCCATACCTTATCATGCTTTTAGTGTTAAATTTTGAAAAAAATAATTTGATTGATAGCGTCGAAAACCAAAAAAAAAAAATTCGGGCTTTGGGCGAAAAAAAATTTCTGACTCAGACAAAAAACCATACCCCCCCTCCCCTTGAAGTTAAATGGTTGCTCCATTATCATACTGGGGCTGTCATCACAAAAAATATTATGTCTAAAATTGGTCATCGTTCATGGCTTACAATTAATGTTACTTGTAAGCTTTATTGTGAAAAGAAACGCTGAGTTTTAAATACGGTGGATTCATTTGTCTTCGTTGATACCAATTTTTTCGTGGATTGAATTTTTTGGTTTTGCAAAAGTCTTCACATATTCCTATAGAAAATTTGAATTTTGATGAGCATTTTATTAAGTGGTTCTTCTGTACCAACGAAAATTGGTATTCAATGAACAATAATAAATTCACAGTACTTGGACTCTCTCCACAAAAAATCTTACGACTAAAATTGATTCTGAGTTATATACTCAATTGTTCATGACTTACATTTACTTTTTTTCATAAGATTTGTTGTGGAAAGAAATAGAGTTATAATGTAGTCGGGAAGATTTCTCTATAATCTAGATCAAACTTGTTACTTGGAGCTAATATAAGTTGTTTTTAATGTGGTACATACCACTACAGGGAAATAACTCTGTATAAATCAGCTGAATATTTTAATCACACTCTGTTGTTAAGAAAATATTAAGCTTCTCGATGATCAAAATTAGTGTTTGTCAAACTGCTATATATCCAATGAAATGTTTCCTATAAAGTGTGTGGTTCAAGTCTTTTGAAATTTTCTTATTTTTGTCAAAGGGTCAAAGTAAATATTTTATCAAAATTTTATGAAAAAATGCCGAATTAATTTTCGTCAAGATGTTTGGATCCACCTTAATACACTTGAAGGGATAACAGGAATCCTCCAAAATACAGGACAAAAGAAATTTTCGGAAATTTGAATTGAAAGGAAGAAAAATTGACTGCTATGGATTCATAGTTATTCTTGGAGTAGGAATTATCAAGGGTTTCATGGTAAATACTAAAAAATAAATATACATAAAAGGTGGAAGATATCAAAGTGACAATTAAAATTTGTAAGATGAAGAGAGAATGACAAGACAAGACAAAACGAAAAATGAAGAAAAAACAAACAACAATCTACTGAACACTACATAGAAAACTAAAGACTGAGCAACTGAAACCCCAACAAAAACAGGGATTGGTCACTGGTGCTCTGGTAGGGTAAGCAGATTCTTCTCTACATGTGGCACCCATCATGTTGCTTGTTAGTCTTCAACAAAGAACAAATTTTGTATAGATTTGTTCTATCCAAAATTTTTCAAAAGCCTAAAATAAAAATTTGTCAATGAAGTTTTGCTCAATTCATAAAAAACACAAAAACACAAAAAAAAAATCATCTGTATACCTTCTCTAAAAAGACACTCATACTTTGCTTTTTTATTTAGATTATGTAGAAATTCCAAAGAAAGAAGAGAAACCTATGGAGAGACCCAGACCTAGGTCGTCAAGACACGTCAGACAGAGTATAAATAAACCAATCTATATTGGTGCAGATTTCCCTGGTACTTTATGCTAAAACATAGAAATTAAGGGGTGAAGTGAAATTACTTCTTACATGTAGTGAATTCTTAAGGATTGCATATCCCCCCTTTAATTAATAATTCAAATAGGTTTTATGATGTGAAAATATTCTGTGTTTTCTAATGTGAACAAGACAGCTCTATGTGATGAATTATGTCTTGTCTGTTTAATAATAAGTATGTAATGTTTAAGTACTGCAATCTCTTCTGACCGAAATTTTTTTCTTATTTGCACATGAGAAATTAAACATAAGCAAGGTTTCACATACAGAACTTTGATACTGTTATTCATTTGTCAATAAATTTTTTTTAAAGAAGCTCTTTCAAATGATATGCATCAAGAACAAACCTCAATATAACTGCAAATTTGTGAATTGGTGTAATTGTGCATTGTTGTATATTTGCATCAGGTAAAGGCGGCATGCACATTTTGAGATAAAAGCAGACTACACATGACCTATGATTGGTTACATACACATCAGTTGAACTTTGGTGGAAAGTTGTCTCATTAGCAATCATACTTTATCACATTATTTTTATATTTTTGTTATTTTCAGGTGACTTTTTACCCACTGGTCAAGGCAAGAGGTATCAGTCTGCAAGAGAAAATGAAGTAAAAACAATAGAGTCACAGGTAAATAGTATTTTGATACTTCAAGAAAGATTTGAAAAAAGGAGGACATATGTTACAAAAAGTCGATCCAATATTGTTTAGTTGCTTTTAAAAATAATTGTCAGTGATTTTGCTAGCGCTCTTCATTTTCGTCATTTACGAAACGGTTTTCAAAATGACGAAAGTATTCCAAATCAATTTAGTCACTTAAATTTGGAAATAGTAAAAATATTTTCGCATGAAAATACTATAATTCTACCTGTCTTATTGCTTCTGACAAGTTTATGACCCTCGGCTAATTAACATTTACAACAGGTGTTATAAGTTGTGATTACAGATAATCCGCTTATCGCCATCATATGGGTCACTAATCCGTTAATTTTGTATCAACCTCATAATTGATCATCATAATTATTTTCCCCAGTAAAATCAGTCAAGTCGGCATTTCAATTTCAGTATTTATCAAACGAGCACAATTTGCAGTTTCGTCATTTGAGTTTTCCCTCGGACAATTCGCATTTTAATTTCTACATTTCTCAAAGGATCACAATTTCCAGTTAGCTTGTCGTAGTTTCGTCAAATGAACTTTTTTCGTCATATTTGATATAACTTTTAATAAAAAACTTTCGATAATTTCGATTAAAAAGATAGAACTTTATTCATATCATTCAGAAATGTTTTCACGAGTCAAACAGGTGCTTCCTTTACGATGAACTGCGCATGCGCGAAAGTATTCTTATGAATTTAAAGACACTTAAACGTAAAATACGAAATAATTAAGTACCAAACTAAACGAGAGAGACAAATATAGTTCTTACTGTGGATTCATTTATTTTCGTGGGTACCAATTTTCGTGGATTGAGGAAAACTTACATATTCGTGGATATTTAAATTCGTGGTTTTCGCAAAGTCTGCATTCAATCCTTTAGACAATTTGTATTTCGTTGACCATTTAAATTCGTGGTTCCCCTGTACCCACGAAATCCACGAAAATTGGTATCCAACGAATAATAATGAATCCACAGTATTTATCAAATTTAATTTAAAAAGATAATTTCCTGTCTTTTTTAAAAACGAACCAATCCGTAGATGAATCGGGATTCATTCTGAATTTATTATCTACTTGTCACTTCCCGTTTTCATTTCATTTGGAAATCGAAAGTAAATGTGATCTATTCATGATAAATTTACAATTTAAAGTCATTAGAATTGTTCTAATAAGGATTTGTACAAATCCTTGGTTCCAAATTTATAGAAGTAATTCTAAATATTGCTTTAAAACGTTTTTAAGGATAATGAGTATGAATAATGCAGTGAAATAGTCCTTACTGTGCTTACAAGTTCATTTATCCTGTGATTCCTGGTTTAAAAAAAATGGATCCCAACTTTTGCTGATTAGGAATGTACCCTGAAACTAACTGACGTGAAATTGTGAACTAGATTTCTAGATCTTATATCCTAATCTTCGTATTAAAGTGCCACATCAGTCAAATCATGCAGTAACTGCCTAGTATGCCTAAGTCCTTCAAAGTCTGACAAAGATGTATAGATAGTAATATACATCCTAGGTCCCTTGCTACTACCCAAAGTAAGGTTGATTTTCATCCCATGCAAAAGTGACTAAAGCCCTCAAAATCCTAGCTTAAACCCTGATAATTGTTATTGTATAATCACTATTGAAAACTCTGAAAATAAACTGAACAAAATATAAATTGACTGCAAAGGAAGGTTGGTCAGTAAGTTGAATATTGTATGAAAAACTGAACTCAACTTACTGTACTTACTGTACTTAATTATTTTGTTCTACATATAGATTCTATCGCTGCATCAAGTGTGATACGATATTTATCAATTTTCAAAATTTTACTGTCGAGAGTGGATAAATATTCAAAATTTAACTGTCGAGAGTGGATAAATATCATATTGCAAGAGATTTGGTGGTGGAATCTCTAATGATTTTTAGACGACATACAAACATACTTATTCCTCCTTTTCGAATGATCAGCAAAAAGTTGTGTTCTTTCTATGTGACGTCATCAGGCATTGTCGCCTTTTTTCATGGCATCACAATAGGAAATTCAGAGGAAAGGAAGAAAATTTGATGTTGTTAATCGAATTTTGACCAATGAAGAATTGAGATCAAACAAACTACACGTTGATTAAATAAAAATAATCAACAGGTCAGGAAAAGGATAAATTGGGTAAGAATTAGAGAAATGTAGATATACAATGTTTTTTTTTTAAAGATCTGGTGTTGTAACCAAAATTACTCTTATTGAAATCATATTAAATTCCAGAAATTTTTATCTGCATCAACCTGCATCAAGTTGTTTCAATTAGTAATATTAATTTCAAAGCCTAAAAATATTTAATGGCTGTAGGTCAAATTGTAATTAAACTGAACAATATCTAGAAAAAATATTAAATTTGTATGAGTTTAAGTTAAATTTTCATCATGGAGTTTTTATTTTTCAGATTGAAGAATTACAAAACAAGGCATTGTCTGGTGAAATGGTTACCATGGATTTAGTGAAAGGACTCCAACAAAGACTGGAAGAGATTGAACAACAGATAAAGGATACAAAACCCCCAAAAATAAAACAGAAACACAGAAACATGGAGCCCAAATATCCAGTGTCCATGTCAGTTAGAGGGAAGGAATTTATCAGTGAGATAGAAAAAGAGAAGGATAGTAGACCAATTAGGTAATGAATTTGTCTTCTTGTAGTTTGAATATCCCTCTGGGATCTTTTTCCTTCTCTTTTGTAAACTTTTTGAATGGATCTGAATTAGATATTTATACTGAGTTTTGTTTTTACATTAAGCAATGTTCTAATAGACCCTTTCAGCATATTCTTTTGCAAATGAATTTTAGAAATGTGAAAATTGGCATGTTATTGGTAATTTGATGAAAATAAAAAAATTGAAAGTTTAGAAATAAAAGTTTGTAGGTAGAAGAACAAAAAATGTCTTATTTCACAAATTTTTTATAAGGAATTTGCACATGTTTGTCTTGATGATTAAAAATAACATTAAACGATTTATTGATTGGTTGAGAATTTTTATATAGAGATGCAAAGATAAAATATAAAATTGGTATAAAATATTCTCAAAATTATACCTTAATCCTCATTCCTTCAATGTCAGTCGATAGATTTTTTATTAAAACGCAATATCTTGATACCAAGAAATTTCTGTTTTATTAATGTTAAATAATTGTATTGTCACTGACTTTGCTTCTTGGGTAAATTTTAATACATCATTCAAACCAGAATTTTCAGAACAAAATCCCAAATTTGTTGATATTACTGTTACATTGTAGTCCTATAAAATAAAACAAAGAAACTTGACAACTCTCATTTATAAAAAGGTTGATACATTTTAAATGAAATTGAAGTTTCTTTTACATCAATAAAACAGAAATTTGTCAATCAAACATTTTTTAAGGAAATCTGTGTTAATGAATAGTTTCGGAGATTGAATGATTATTAAAGAACAACTCTACTCTAAGAATTATTTACATGCATTCTATATGTATTTTCCGAATATCCATTCTATATTTTTTTAAGAATAAAAGAGAATAAGCTTTATTTTTTTCCAAAATTTATTATAACTTAACCTTTTAAAGATATTTGAAAACCTCATCTGAAGTATCAGGTAGTATGTGTTTAAATAATAGCCTTTTCGGGGCCTTACTGAGTACTGAGTAAAGTTTTATGACCGAGGGAGAAGGTCTTTGGTCAATAGTTGCTAATTTGTCAATCATATCTTATTTTTATGGAGAAAAAAAAATAGTTTTCTTGTTTGAATTGTTTTACATTTCGGGGCCTTTTATAGCTGACTCTGCGGTATGGGTTTTGTTCATTGTTGAAGGCTGTTACGGTGACCTATTGTTGTTAATTTCTGTGTCATTTGGTCTCTTGTGGAGAGTTGTCTCATTGGCAATCATACCACATCTTCTTATTTTTATATTGATCCTTTTTTGAAATAGTATTCATTGAGTTTCAAAATATTTTGTTTGATGTACCTTCTCTAAGCATTAAAGAGTTCTTATTTCATAGAAAATCAGCAATTTTAATCAACTTTCAGGTCACCAGAAGTTTTAAAGGTCAACGATCCTTTAAAGTCTATAGAAATTAACAGTGATGACATCATGTTTGATGCAACAGGTAAGAAATTATCTCCTTTTAAAAAAAATTATTGAGAAACACAAGTTCCTAAATATTCAAGTGTTAAAACAAGAATTTCAAAACTGTATTAAATAGCTTACTGCAACTACTGAACGAGTGAAGATTAAACCTTATCTAAACTATATCTCATGGTTGTCTTAATGTTTGTATTGTTTCTGTATTTTATAATGTGATTTTTATTGTCTAATTACACCTTCTATAAGAAAGCCAGATTTTGATTGGTTGATAGCCAGTGTATTTTTTGCATATTCTAATATTTTTTCTCATTTCAAACGAATTTGCCTGTTTTTTTACCACTGACGGTGAATTTGCCTCAAATACCATGGTATTTGCCAATTTGAATATTCCTTTTTTACCCTCTCGAGCATTTTCCCGCTAAAATTTTTCGGATATGAAGTTACATAAAAAAGCGAGCTAAAGGGTATTAGTACATGTATAATCCTGCAGTTCTATGATAATATCCTCTTATCCTCAAAATTATGCATAAACATGTTAATGAATTAGTTTCAATCCAAATCTATGCGGTGTAATTAAACAGATATATCATGTTATGGAGGGGTATTTGCGAAAAATACCAGTCTTTGGACCGAATTTCCCTCGCCTAGCGTCTCTGGAAATTTTACAGTCCCTTGACTGGTATTTTTCGCAAATACCCCTCCATAACATGATATATCTGTTCAAAATTATGAAAGTATTTGCCATTTATTGTATGTAATTTGTTGATATCACCTCGCCGCTGTGTGGTTAAATAATTACTGTAGATTTATTTATTTTCTTCAGTACCAATTTAGTGGATTGGGGGAAAAATGATATTTTCATGGAAATTCCAAGTTGTGGTTTTAAAAAAAGTTTGTGTACAAGTCCATAGAAAATGAATACTTCGTTGAACATTTAAATTAGTGATGTCCATATAACCATGAAATCAATGAAAAGTGGTACCCTACAAGTACTAATGAATTCACAGTACACAGATATAGGGTCACGATATAGCAAAAACCTCTTCTCAAATTTGGGTAAAGGTTGCATTTCTGTAAATATTGACAATGCAATTTCCCATAGGAACTCCTTTTACGGCTAAAACTGTACCACTTTTACTATGAAGTTTTGAAAAAAATCATACCCTAGAATGGAAAGTTCATATGCACTACTATTTTTTTTAAAGGTCAAAATATAGGGCTGTGCGGCATATTTTCAACGTTTATATGCCCCGAACTTCTAAGAGTTTAAACTAACACTAAATTTTCTAACTACGCCTACCTTAACTGTAGGATTACCACAGATTTCAATATAAACAATATACATATGTATATTTACTGGTAACATTCCCAAGTTTTGTCTCTATGAGATGAAACATAGAGATCATAACTGGGAACCAGTATGTAAACAAGATTAATTATCTATGAATATTCTATATCTGCCCAAAAGAGGCGTGGTTGGAGAAACAGCTGTATTTACAAAGTGCAACCTATAGGGATGCCTTCTTGAAGTTGCAATAAGATGATATCATTTGCTACATGTTAAAGGCCTCACTTAGACTTTGAGATGAAGAACAGACATACAATTTTCATTCCTTTGTTTTGAGTTTTGTAAGTTGTATGTAGGGAATTTGTGTCATAAGTTTATAAACCAGACCTCCTTTATGATGAAAAAAAGAGCAGCTCTTTTAATATCAATAGAATAAAATTGAGAATGGAAATGGGGTACATGTCAAAGAGACAACAACCCGACCAAAGAGCAGACTACAGCCGAAGTCCACCAATGGGTCTTCAATGAAGCAAGAAAATCCCGCACCCTGAGGTGATCCTCAGCTGGCCCCTAAATAAAACCCTATTAAGCCATAGTTTTTTTCTTCACTGTTTTTTGTAATAAATTATATTTGAAAAAACACCATTGTACGAGTTGAATTATTGCAAAGTTCCCGCTAGGAAAGGTCCATCCTTGCAGTCATAAATTTTTCTAGTACAATTATCATACTCAGACTCAGATATCAACAATTCAAAATACTGGATTTAGTGTTTCGAGCACTAATTTTGTACTACGAGTACTGAGTTAAGTTGTATGACAGAGGGAGCTGATCTTTGGTCAATAGTTGCTCATTTGTCAATCATATTTTATTTTTACGGAGAAAACAGAATTATTTTAAAATTTCATCAAATATTGAAAGCATGCAAATAAGATGCATTAATAATATTGAATATTTTTAATTTTTTTTAGATTTAATTGGAGAAGGAACATTCTCCAGAGTATACCATGGTGTGTGTCTTGGAACAGAGGTAGCCATAAAGCAGCTAAAAATTCCTCTGACTACTCATGATAAAAACTATTTTGCTGCTGAGGTATGTTGAAATGTATTCTCTGATTTGTATATACAAAATGTACTGTGTTGTTTTCTGCAGTTCTACATTGACTTAAAATCTGAATTAAGGATGTTCGCTCCTCTTGTTTTTGAATTTTTGCCAGATATTCGGAATCCTCTGGTTTTATCCATGTAGTGCCATTAAAAATTTGCCCATTAACCCCTACTTTTCTTTCCATAATTTGATTAGATTTAGCTTAAAATGACTTCTTTGAAAATCTTATAAAATCCTTGTTATTTTTTCATCGTTTTTGAAAGAAAAAAGGTGCCAATGTTAAATGCATGAAAAATGTAGAGAGAATTATTTCCCGCCATATTTTCAATGGCTTATATCTCGAAAACAAGCACACGGACCCTTCATTTTTTCTGCATTTTTAGTTTCTTTGTTTACATTCTATCAATTCATGACAGTCTTTTAAAAAGCTTGTTATTTTGAAACAGAGTAGCGAACATCCTTAGATATAAAAAGCTGCTTCATTCTTTGTAATAGTCTATTTTCATATTACCGATTTTCGAGTCTGGAGTATATGATTTTTCTGCAAGTTACTCAAGTACCAGAATGTTCTACCACATAGCAGGTAACCTGTCAAAAAATTATATACTCTGGAGAAAAAAGTCAGTAATATGAAAATAGTCTAATGCAACTTTGATATTTGAAAGCATGAAGCTTAGTAAAGCATACATGTTGAAAAACTCAGTCATAAAACTTTACTCAGTACTCAGAGTACAAAATTTGTGCTCGAAACACCAAATCCTTGATTTTGATTGGTTGAAATCTGAGTCTGCATACGAAAATTGTGCTCGAAATTTTTATGACCGCAAGGCCAGGTGTCTTTTTTGAGCATATCTTATGGTCATGTTGCAAAAATACTTTTTTTGGCTTAAAAATAATTTCCCAAATATCATTAAATATACAACAGAAACATCGAAAACTTGAAATGTAAAGATTAAGCTATCAGAAAATTAAGTGTCGTTAAGTTTATTTGAATTTTTATAGAAAAATCCTTTTAAAAAAGTTTATTTGAATTTTTAAAGAAAAATCCTTTTAAAAACAAGGGCAGATAATTATACTGAATTTGATAGGACAATTTGTGTTTTTTTTTATTTTTCAAGAAAACAAGGCTTGTGACTCCCTATTTTTATTTGATATTTCAGAAGTATTCATGAAAAGCAATTCTCTCATTGAATTTTAACCAATTCTATTTTTTTAATGTTTCTTCGATGAGGAAAAATAAAGTTTCTCTGATATAATCCATACAAAATTCATGCTTTCAAATTTTTGAAGGTGTTTATCATTACAACAAAACCAGAGGATTTCGAAAGGTCTTTAACAAAATGTAGAACAGAGTGTTCAAAACACACAAAAATAAAACAGTAGACTCTTACAGATCAATTTATTGTCTTTAAAGATAGTCGGTATTAATTGAAGAAGTATGTCTTTCTAAAAATCACCAATGTCTTTCTAAAAATCTCCTGGCCACGTCCACTTGTATTTGTAGTATTTGTATTTTTATCCATCTGATGAGTTAAGCCTTTTTCAAAGTGATTTTTATAGTTTGTTCTTATGTTGTACTGTTACACCACTGTCCCAGGTTAGGGGGAGGGTTGGGATCACGCTAACATGTTTAACCCTGCCACATTCTGTATGTATGTGCCTGTCCCAAGTCAGGAGCCTGTAATTCAGTTGTTGTCGTTTGTTTATGTGTTACATATTTGTTATTCGTTCATTTTTTGTACATAAATTAGGACGTTAGTTTTCTCGTTTGAATGGTTTTACATTGTCATTTCGGGTCCTTTTATAGCTGACTGTGCGGTATGGGCTTTGCTCATTGTTGAAGGCCGTACAGTGACCTATAGTTGTTAATTTCTGTGTCATTTGGTCTCTTGTGGAGTGTTGTCTCATTGGCAATCATACCACATCTTCTTTTTTATAATTAGTTTAAAAAGTTGTGAATACAATGAACAAAGACTATCAAAATCTGTTATAAACACCAGTCTGTAAATCATGTAAATTGTGTAGAAATGATCACTGTTGGAGAAATAAAATTATAAATTACATTATTCTAAGGGCTGAGTGTCAAAGCCTTGAAAAGAAAGTTGAAGGCCGGATCTGTATTTTAATCAGATCAAAACAGGTACAAACTGGTTGTGCTGTTGATGTAGTCCTACTAAGAACTCTTTATGTCATTGTAGGTCAGTCTTCTGAAGGAATTACACTTACTCTTAGAATCACAACTAATTGATGTTTGTGCTGCAGGTTAGTCGCCACTGATGGCGCTGCTGTTGATTAATTATGGCATTCATGATAAAACTTTTTCATTGTTGTAGGTTAGTCTTCTGAAGGAGCTACATCATCCTCGTGTAGTACAGCTGATAGGTGTATGTACTACAGACAAGTTTCGGTTAGTCGCCCCTGATGGCGCTCTGTTGATTAATTATGGCATTCACTATAAAGCTTTTTCATCGTTGTAGGTTAGTCTTCTGAAGGAGCTACATCATCCTCGTGTAGTACAGCTGATAGGTGTATGTACTACAGACAAGTTTCCACTAATGGTACTGGAGTTTATGGCACGAGGCAGTCTTTACTACTATTTACATGATCCAAAATGGTGAGACCTTAGATATTTTTGAGGAAATACTGCATATAGCTGGTAGAAAGTTGCTTATTCAAATGACACAATATATTGCCTATAAATATTTTAGAATTTTCTGGTAAAAAAAGTATCTTGAACTTGTGAAAGAAGAAATGCCTAAGACTGAAAAAAGGAGTATTTATGATGTTTTTTTTTCAAATTTAGAAAGGCAGATAATTGTCAAACTGAAATTATAAATTATTGGGAAAGAAAGGATATTGTGTATCAATTCATGACACAAAATCATTACACACACATAAAAAACTAAAATCAAAGGATCGACACTTTTATTTATGTTTATTCACAACTCACAGTGAGGCCTTCAACATGAAGCAAAAACTATCACATCACTGCCAGTTCAATACTGCCTATAGCACTGACCAAATATGCCACAATATTATAAAATATTGAAAATAGATATATGTAATATGAAATTCTGTTTTGAAATGAAACTAAATAATTTGATGACCAATAAAAATATTACAATGTGCATATACACTATCATTTGTTAAATTAGCAAGAGTTATGTTTCCTTTGCTTGTTTCAAACATTTTGACCAAAATTGACTTTAGAAATATTTAGTTTATTTTGGAGCAAATGTTTGGTAGCTCTACCAGTATGTGAGAAAAATAACCAAAGGATCAATGTTTGATCTTACAGTTTATACGTATTCTATTATACTATGGGTAAAATACATAGTCTGAAAAAATTGTGTTATCAACAAGGAAATTGATATACTAGGCCATGCCAATAATTATAACATTTAAATAAACATGTCCCTTTTTCTTTTCATCTCACCTGATACATTGCATATGGGTAATATGAAATATATGATTTTAGTGTAATTCCTGTATCATTATTACTGTAAATTCAGAAATTATTGCGATAATTTTATTAATACGAATAATGCGATTGGGTGAGTATCGCAATAATAAGAACTAGCATTCTGAATTTCGATACATATATTTGTATGCAGATTTTCTTGAAATCGCAATAATTTATCTTGGCATTATGTCTATTCTTCAAAAGTCACAAAAATAAATGCATGCAATAATTTCTGAATTTACAGTATTTGAGATAGTTGAAATTGACATATTTGAACAAGTAAGGGATATTCCATTAATATGGATGTTGGAGGGTAGGAAGGGACTTCCAAATTGCCTACAACCAGCATACTTTCTTTTAGTAATTACACAAAACATCTATTTTCAGTGAGTCGATGGACCATGCTGAATATTATGGAGTTGCGCATGATATTGCTCTAGGTATGAATTACCTACATCAACACAAACCACAAGTCCTACATCTTGACCTCAAGTCTATGAATGTCCTTCTGGATAGTAGTGGCAGAGCTAAGATAGCTGACTTTGGATTTTCTAAGTTTAGGTAAAACTGTAACCTTGATAGCATTATCATTTGTTGGGGTACCAGTTTTCTTTAATTTTGTATTTCCCTCCAAACATTAAATTTCCCCAAGAAATGCATATTTTCAATTGACTGCTATTATGTTAGTTTTATGAGAATAAATTGAAAATCTCATGAACTTAGATGTTTTCACACACCACAGCGATGGCCAAAAAGAAAACAGAAAGACAAAACAACAGTCCAAAAAACACTACACATAAAACACCACCAAAAACAGGGGATAAACACCTGTGTCTCAGAAAGGTCAGCAGTTCCTGTCCCACTAGTAACACCAATCCTGCATCCTGCCTTTCGATATTGACACTCCAGAGTTACAAAAAATTCATATTGTCCCCAAACATTTAGTCTATTCTTGAGTAGCAATAACTAACTAACTTGTTCACATCTTTGTCCTTTGATCTAAGTTATCTCTTAGCAATCATACCATATCTCCTAATTTTTACATCATTATTTATTTTTAGACATGATGCAGATTTAAAAGCATCAAAGTTATCAAAAAAGAAAAGCATGTGTAGCTCACCAACTTGGATGGCACCAGAATTGTTGGAGACAGGGGAGATAACCACTAAAGCTGATGTTTATAGTTTTGGCATTATCCTGTGGGAAATGTTAACAAGGAGCCATCCTTATGATGGTTGTTCTGTGTTCCAGGTAAGTCTCAATCTTGCAGATATGAGGGTCTGGATGGGGGGGGGGGGGGCCTTTATTTCTGTATTCTTTTAGTTTTTGGGGAATTGTTTTTTATCTATATAAATAACACTTATTTTATGAAATTCTCATAAAATTTACTTTACTATTAAATTGAGCTGAATGAATTTAATCTGTACATCTTTGATTTCTGTAATCAGTATTGTATCACCAAATTCTTTTATTTTCCACAATCATCCTGTACACTTTTGCACCCCAGTTTACTATATTTTATTTATTTTTGTTGAGCCTTCGACTTTTGTTGAAAAAACGAGACATAGCGATCTTACATTCTGTCGACGGCGTCGTCGTTGTTGTCGGCGGCGGCGGCGTCCACAAATATTCACTCTGTGGTTAAAGTTTTTGAAATTTTAATAACTTTCTTTAACTATCCTGGATTTCTACCAAACTTGGACAGAAGCTTGTTTATGATCATAAGATAATATCCAGAAGTAAATTTTGTAAAAAAAAAATCCATTTTTTCCGTATTTTACTTATAAATGGACTTAGTTTTTCTGCCAGGAAACATTACATTCACTCTGTGGTTAAAAGTTTTTGAAATTTTAATAACTTTCTTAAACTATCCTGGATTTCTACCAAACTTGGAAAGAAGCTTGTTTATGATCATAAGATAGTATCCAGAAGTAAATTTTGGAAAAAAAAAATTCCATTTTTTCCGTATTTTACTTATAAATGGACTTATTTTTTCTGCCAGTTAACATTACATTCACTCTGTGGTTAACGTTTTTAAAATTATAACAACTTTCTTAAACTATCCTGGATTTGTACCAAACTTGGACAGAAGCTTGTTTATGATTAAAAGCTAGTATCTAGAAGGAAATTTTGGAAAAAAAAAATTCCAATTTTTCCCGTTTTTACTTATAAATGGACTTAGTTTTTCTTCCAGTTAACATTACATACAGATTAAGTTTTTAAAACATTTATTAGATTCATAAACTATCCTGGATTTTTACCAAACTTGGACAGAAGCTACTTACAATCAAAAGATAGTATAGAGAGGAATATTTTTATTAGATTTTTTCCTCATTTTTGTTGAGCCTGCGATTAACAGCAAAAGTAGGCGAGACACTGGGTTCCGGGGAACCCTTACGAATTTTTTTGCTTATATTTCTTTATTCATTAAAGTTTTTGACCATTGTTCTCTATTCTATAAAGTCCATCCAGACCATCAGATATGCTTTTATGATATGCAGTGTGGATATTCATGTCAGATTAATGTTGTGTGTAATTTGTTAAAAAAATCAGAATATTTTTTTCCGAATATACAAGATGCTTTCACTTACATTAATGAATCCATTTAGACAGTCTGATTTGTGAATTTCTGGAATCATTTTTCAAAAATTAGCATACATGTATTTCTTTATGTCTTTTATGGCTGATTCAAAGGAGATGTGAGGGTAAACATCAAAGCGACTGTAACACACCAACATAAAATGAAAAAGAAAATTATAATGAATATTAAAAAAAACAAAAAACACAGTCAATTATAAAAAAAAGAATGTTTATGCTGTGTCTTATTCAGTAGCTTTTTATGCCCTCGCCATAGCGGTGGGGGCATTAAGTTTTACTCTTGTCTGTCTGTCTGTCCGTCTGTCTGTCCGTCCGTCTGTCTGTACGTCCCATACAACCGTACGTCCCAAAATTGGTTTCCTTCTTTAACTTTAGTTTGCCTCAACCAAATGTTATGAAACTTATACACAATGCTTATTACCACAAAACACAGATTAATTTTGAATTTTGGTGGCGTCACTTTTACCGTTCTAGAGTTATGCCCCTTTACAAATGGAAAAATTGCTGAATTTTTTGTTTCTGTTCTCTAACTTTAGTTTGCCTCAACCAAATGTTATGAAACTTATACACAATGCTTATTACCACAAGACACAGATCAAGTTTGAAATTTGGTGGAGTCACTTTTACTGTTCTAGAGTTATGCCCCTTTACAAATGGAAAAATTGCTGAACTATTCGTTTCTGTTCTCTAACTTCAGTTTGTCTCAACCAAATGTTATGAAACTTATGCACAATGCTTATTACCACAAAACACAAATCAAGTTCGAATTTTGGTGGCGTCACTTTTACCATTCTAGAGTTATGTCTCTTTGCAAATGGAAACATTGCTGAATTTTTTGTTTCCGTTCTCTAACTTAAGTTTGCCTCAACTAAGTGTTATGAAACGTATACACAATGTTAATACAACAAAAATCAGATAAAGTACAAATTTGGGTAGTGTCACTTTTACAGTTCTTGAGTTATGTCCCTTTATAACGTTATATGCAAGAGGGGGCATCATCTGTCCCATGGACACATTCCCCATATATTTATCTGTATTATCATTAAGAAGTTCTAACATTGAAAGTTTTATTAATAAAAAATAGCATAATAATATTAGTAAATCATTTCTTTTAATCTAAACACAGAAAAGTGATTATCTCCCATGAACTATACGAATTAAAAATTGATGAAGATTATTTATTCTCATTTTTCAGATCTTGGAAAGAGTGAGGTTGAACAAGAGACCAGAAATTCCTACGAATAGTCCACCAGATTTGTCATCGTTGATAAAGAGATGTTGGGATCAAAATCCTGCAAAAAGACCTGCATTTAAAGTAAAACATATATTTTAGGAAATACTGATTTTTAAAAAAAGACATAAAAAAGAAAACATTAAGACATTCAAATTATTCAGAAAGAAATATTTCATGCATTTTCAGGAAGGTAATATGTCAGCAATATATACATTTATATGTCAATTTGTAATTCTTAAAAGGATGATAAACTCATGTCTGCCATTAAGGGCTATTCCATTAAAATGTATGTGGTAGGGTATGAAGGGAAGTTTCATTATTGAATGTGGGTCATGGGTCTTTTTTAAGTATGCGTCTGTTACCATTATGCAAAATTATCTAAAAAATGGTTTGTGGTTGTAGGGATATTTGGAAAGTCCCTTCCTACCCTCCAACATACATTTTAATGGAATAGCCCTAAACAGCTGTTGCTGCATTATAATTATACCTGCTCTGAAGTATCTGTAAACAAGTGTACCTCTGTCCATCTGTTTGTCCAAAGAAAATTTATTCTCTCCAGGCACTTTGGCTTCCTCCACCAATAAAAACGGATCACTGTGATGTAGCCAAACGTGCTGAAAGTGGTGTTAAACACCAACAATCAATCCAATCATGAAATTTAATGGACGTTATTCTCAGAAACTACAAAGTAAAGCTATCAGACATTTTAGAGTTCTGCTTCATTCATAACATATTTCATGAAATATTCTCTTTAATGGCTAAAATATTTCAGTTGTCAGGAATGCCATAAACATGTTAAAAAAGCCTGCTATTTTTATCCTATGAAGACGAGAGCTTTTTAATACTAAAAATAGCAGATTTTAAAGAAGAATCTTCATTCCTTTTACAATTCATGTCAGTCTAGCTGAATAAGTACTGTGGATTCATTTATTTTTCATTGGTACCAATTTTTGTGGATTGTGGAAAAATTGTATATTTGTGGATATTTAAGTCTCCCAAACGAAGTTTGGGAAGACTTATTGTTTTTGCTCAGTTCTTATTATTATTATTATTCTTCTTCTTCCTCTTCCTCTTCCGCCGCTTTTAAATTTGAACTTCTCCAAAACCGCTTGTCAGATTAACTTAGGGTTCCACAATATGTTAGACTAACATGTCTAGTGGTGCAATCAGGGTTTTGTTTGTGCAATGGGGTTTATAAAGGGGTACTTCGAGGGGCAAGAAGAAAGGAGGGTTTTACTATAGAACCCTATGGGATTTTATTTTTTTTAATTTTCAAATGATTATGAATTGAAAACCATATGTGATAGACATAATCTTTTTAATTGAAAATGTTCTAAATGATAAAGCACAATAAATGAATTACAGGGTTAGTCCCCAGGGGTCACCCCCACCCCCTGCCATTTAAGAAAGTTCTAATATCGTGTAAGTGGTCAAGATCCCTACCCCTAAACCATATATATTCTGGTTTGTCATGCTAAGATGGTTTGAATGATATACAGGGTTAGTCCCCAGGTGTCATCCCGACCCCCTGCCATTTGAGAAAGTTCTAATATCTTGTAAATGGTTGAGATCCCCACCCCTAAACCATATATATTCTGGTTTGTCATGATAAAGCACATCAAATGAAATACAGGGTTTGTCCCCAGGAGTCACCCCCACCCCCTGCCATTTAAGATAGTTCTAATATCTTGTAAGTGGTCAAGATCCCCACCCCTAAACCATAAATATTCTGGTTTATCATGTGAAGATGTTTTGAATGATATACAGGGTTAGTCCCCAGGGGTCATCCTGACCCCCTGCCATTTGAGAAAGTTCTAATATCTTGTAAATGGTTGAGATCCCCACCCCTAAACCATATATATTCCTGTTCGTCATGTCTCAAACATTTGAATGACATATAGGGTCTGTCCCCAGGGGTTCCCCCACCCCCAATGTTTTAATATCTTATAAATGGTCGAGATCCCCACCCCTAAATCATATATATTCCTGTTCGTCATGTCTCAAACATTTGAATGACATATAGGGTCCGTCCCCAGGGGTTCCCCCACCCCCAATGTTCTAATATCTTGTAAATGGTCAAGATCCCCACCCCTTAACCATATATATTCCTGTTTGTCATGTCTCAAACATTTGAATGATGTATAGGGCCAGTCCCCAGGGGTTCCCCCCACCCCCAATGTTCTAATATCTTGTAAATCCACCCCCAATGTTCTAATATCTTGTAAATGGTCGCGATCCCCACCCCTAAACCATATATATTCCTGTTCGTTAGGTCTCAAACATTTGAATGAAGTATAGGGTCAGTCCCCAGGGGTTCCCCCCCACCCCTAATGTTCTAGTATCTTGTAAATGGTCGAGATCCCCATCCCTAAACCATATATATTCTGGTTTGTCATGCCAAGATGATTTGAATGATATACAGGTTTAGTCCAAGACATCAATAATGCATATAACTTGACTGGACCAAACCAATTTTCACTGGACTTTGCCAATGTCAGGTGACCCTTGGAATTACAAATTATGGGAGCTTCGTTTGGGAGACTTTGTAACAGCATCCTGTTACAATCATTTCTTGTTGATTTTGTGGATTTACCAAAGTCTGCTTACAAGCCTTGAACAAAATGATACTGTAAATTCAGAAATTATTGTGTGTAATTATTATTGTAATTTTTGCAGGATTAATAATTGTAATTTCAGGAAAATCTGCATACAATATTATATTGCTTATGTATCAGATATCAGGATGTGAGTTCTTATTATTGCATTCATTTCCCATTCGCATTATTCACATTAATAAAAAACTCACAATAATTTCTGAATTAACAATACTTTATTAAACACTTTTATCCATGAAAATTGGATTGATTGATGGTTGGTTGCTTAATGTCATAGTGGCAACACAAAAATTGGTACCCTCTGAGTAATAATGAATCTACAATTCTTGATTTGTGCATTCTTTAAATTGAACATGGTAAGAGATTTGATAGGAATGAAATTTAGGCAACCATTTTGTGTTCATTTTGAAATGAGTTTCGGAATCCATAGAAATAGTCCTGTCAATCTTAAACTTATTTGAAAATTTTAATTTTGTAGGACATCATTTTGCAACTTGACAAGTTAGCATTTCCTCCAGACTGGAGAGCTCTTTTCAAAGAAGCAGGTGTACCAAATGAAGCATTAGAAGATGTGCAGTCAGCCAGAACCATTATCAGCCTAGTCAACAACACTGTAGATCTTGAAAATGTTAAGACCATGATGGAAGATATAAGACATTCAAATGATGCCATAATGGCATCACATGACTTGACAAGAGAATCAGATGTTTACATTAACCAATCAAATGATCAGAATAGGTATCCTAGCAACTCAGCCAGGGAATCATATAACTTTTCAGTTCAGTCTAGGGAACCTCAAAAAAGTCTGACAGCCACAAGGAGGTCACACGACATGATGTCATCGTCAAGTAGACATTCTTATGATAAAGCAAGAAATTCTGGAGAATCTATTCTCACAAGAAAATCATTTGATTCACCATTTTCTTCAACGAGGAATAAAAAGTTTGACGATGAGAAAAATGTTGGCGATTCTATTGAGGAAGAAATTGGAGAAATTGACGATGTTAGAGATAGTTTTGATTTTAAATTTAATACAAATTTTATGGAAGATTCTCAACATGAACAAAATCAAGATGAGAAATTTTTCCAGAAAAGTCAGACATCTTTAAGAGATTTCAAAACTTCTGCACATGGGGAAGACACAACCTCTGAATACTTAAATTATCTTAAAAGGTCATGTGAAATTTTATCACCAACGATTAGAAGTCCGATGACTAGTAAATATTCAGATAATATGAAGGATTTTCTTTACACTGATTTTGAAAAGTCTGACCAAACAGGTGCTGTAATTGAAACAATTGCTAGTATTCCAAGATCTAAATCCCCGCTGGATAATTTGAGGAAATCAGATCAAGGTTTGGATCATGAAGTTTTGAACTCAACAAGGTCATTATCTGACAAAAATCAATCAACTGGAAAGTCACATGATTCCACAGTAAGAAAGTCACATGACACACTCCTGCAGGAGATAAGAAAATCAAAATCCAGTCTAGAAAAAGAAACATCACAGAAGTTAATGACAAGGCCAGAAAATGAGGAAAAAGATCTGAAAAGTTCAATGGAAAATCCACAATCAGATTTATCTGATTCATCAATAAGAAAATCACATGATGCTGCTCTGAAAGAAATGCTTAATTCAAAAGCTTATTCTAAAACTGATACATCATCTAAGAGGTCACATGACCACTTAAAGAAAGAATCTACTCCAAGAAAGTCAAATGATGACTTAAATGAAAGTTCCCTCCTTAGGAAGTCACATGATAGTTTGATGGAAGATTCTCCACCAAGACAGTCACATGATAAATGGAAGAAAGATTCAACTCCAAGAACGTTGCATGAAAGTATGATGGAGGAAATGTCTCTCAGAAAGTCACATAATTACATAAAGAAAGATTCATCTCCGAGGAAGTCACATGACACTATCATTGATGAATCTCCTATCAGAAAGTCACATGATGCCTTAGAGAAAGATTTGACTCCAAGGAAATCACATGACAGTATCATTGATGAATCTCTTCTCAGAAAGTCACATGATGTCTTAAAGAAAGATTTCACACCAAGGAAGTCACATGAGAGTACCATTGATGAATCTCCTCTCAGAAAGTCACATGATTTCTTAAAAAAAGATTCCACCCCTAGGACGTCACATGACAGTATCATTTATGAATCTTTTATTAGAAAGTCAAATGATGACACAAAGAAAGATTCCACCCCAAGAAGGACCAATCATGCCAACGTGATGGATGAAATAAGAAAATCAGGCAAACTATTTAAAAGAGATGGGAAGAAAAATCCACTTTCAGCATTTGTTGATTCAAAGGATGCAAATTCTCAAAAACCTGCTAAGGTTAGAGCTAATGAAAATTCGGAAGATGAAAACTCCATTTCTAAGAATAGTGATGCCGAACAGGAGGTTTTAGCTGCATTGAAAACTGACCTAGATTCTGGAAAAATTAACACAGTGAACACTGAAGAAATTATTAAACAGGACAATGAGGTCAAATCCAAACTAAGTTCAAAAGATAGGTCAAATGCATCGAAAAAAGGTCCTCAACAAAATTTACTGACAGAAATGAAAAGTTTGCACTCAAAATTGCGAAGTGAAAAAACTGGACATGTCGAAGAAATAAAGCAACTTCATACGAAGCTAAGAAGTGGGAAAATAGTAAACGAAAAAGCGGAAAACAGTTCTGCCAATGGAAAAGAGATTAAGGATAATATTTTTGAGAAGGATGATACTAGTGATAAGGATTCCATTGAAAATATAGACATTAAGGATGACCTTGACAATCTCTCTGTTGATAGCCTTGACCTTAATGACAGTATAACAGAAGATATTGGTCACATGACTAATCCACAGAAGATTGATAGTGAGGCTAATTTTAGTGAAACTATGAAAAATGAGAGTGGATTTTCAAAAGTTGAAAGTGATCAAGATAATGAGAAATCTTGTTCAATGTCGAAGAGTAAAACTGTTAATGTTGACCAGAAGAAAGACATAAATAACAGTGCTAAACCATTGCCAGAAAATTCAAATACGGGTAAAAATAATAGTGTCAAAAACTTGCCAGATTTGAGAATGTCGTTGAATATGGAAATAGCCCAATTTTCTACCAGTAAATTAAAAGGAAAAGAAAAGGGGAAAACAGAACAACCAAAAGAAGATAATAAAGAAAAGGGGAAGAAAAATGCAAAAGAAATTGTGAAAACCAAACCAAAAAAGAAATCAAAATCTGTACCAGAAAAGAAAATGGCTGCAAATGAAAATCTTACTGATAGTAATGAGAAATGTTCAGAAAATCAAACAAATCCTAAAAACCGTAAAAGTATAGAGGCTTGGGTTGAAGAAAAAGCAAAACCAGCCGTGACAGATGCAAAGCAAAAGCAGCGTAAAATATCAACTTCTAGTTTGCCCTCCCATCCGCCTCCTATTTTGCTTCCTGACGATCCACCGCCTATTTTCATTTCTGATGATCCACCCATTCCACCAGCACCACCTATACCAACAATGGAGTTGACTCCTCCACCAGCTCCTCCCTTGCCAGAACAGGATACTCCAGTAGGGGAGACAACTAATTCTAAGATCAAAAAGAGACTGGAGATTCCTGAGGCAAAGCATTCCAGTCATGAGGCAACACCTTCAAATTCTACTAAAGCCAAAATACCAGCAAAGGGAGACGATTCTGATCCATTAATGGTGAAATCAGCGGAATTGAGAGATCAGAAGGAAGTGTTGCAATCAATATCGAAGCCACATCCCAACCAGCTCACGGATCTTTCACAAGTCAACAAACAGACTTACACATCTATAGCTGATATTCTGAAAAGGGTAAGTAATATTAAATGGTCATAGATATACACAGTGCTTTTTTGTGAAGTATCGTAAATAAATGCATATAGGAGGGTCTTGATCGGTTAAACAGAATAGACAATAACGAGCTTTAAAAAGCAAGAAAAGATAAAATGGGTCCAAACCTAAAAAAGAGAGAGAGTAATGGCCATGGGGTGCTGGAGTATTAGGAAGAGAGAATATGTGCAAAGCAATTAAGAATAGTGAAATAAGGCATAAAAAGATAAAGAAAATTATGTTTGTTAAAAAATAAAAAAAATATTGAATTTTAGGTCAGCAAATTAAAAAGATAATTATTTACTTTCGGAGTGCTGATATGAAATTTGTCAACGACAAATCTATATTACAGGTTCAGCACCAGCGGTTATTTTCACAAAAAGTCTTATGAAAAAAAAAACTTTTATCATGATCGTTTTAGTGCTACTTACAATTAATTTCGATTGAAACTTTTTTTGGCAGCAGAATTTGATAGTACTTTTCTGTTACAGAACTACATTGGAAAAGGGGACATAATTCATATTTGATATTCACTTAATTTGATAAAACCACTAGCTTCATATGGAAAGGGACATAATTCATATTATTTAATATTTCAATTGGCGATTCAAATAAGTGTGTATTTTTTTCACTCATGAACAGAGAATAAAGGATACAAGCACATTTGAATAGATATCATTCAAATAACTAAATGCCAAAAATTGCAAGATTCTCTTATGAAATTATTTAAATATTTTTTATTACTAAGGAGCTTTATACACTTGCTTATTTTTATCTATATGCAAAACTTGTCGAAAATTCATTTACAATTGAGACTCATGTCAATATTGTTAATCATCATTGTATAAATGCAAAAAGGACTAATTCACATGTCAAAACAAAAATAGAAAATAAAATGAAATGTAAATTTTTGATAGATTTATTGGCACGTTGCTCTATATATGATTTTAAATACAGGCTAACTGGACTGACTTAAGAATGGTAAGCTAAGTCTCATGAGTGCTTACATACTTTGTAGATAACAAGAACTTCTAAAACATCAGCATGAGCTTGATTGATGTGTGAATAACCTTGACCTTAATTTTAAGTGCATGTTAATATCACATGATTTGCTGTATAACAGACATGATTTTTACCCACTCAATGAAAATAAATAGTTTTAATAGCCCCTCCCGCCTTTACTCCATTTCAAAAGCTTCTGGGTTCTGAGAAATAGTTCAGTTATTATGATCATTGTCTGCCATGTTGGGCAAAAAATTTGACGAAGTATATTTCTCCCCCTCCCCTTTATCCCCTTAAAAAGTTGCTGGATCCTCTCCTAAGAAAATAATTTAGATATTGTGATCAACGTCTGCTTTGCTGATGTCCATGAAATAAATTTGACTGTGTATATTTCTTTCCTTTTGTCCCTTTTTAAAAGTCACTAGATCCTCTCCTGAGAAATAATTCAGATATTGTGATCAATGTCTGCTATTTTGTGCAATAAATTCAACTATGTATATTTAATTTCGCTACAATGAGAGTTTTTCTACCTTAATCCTTTCATTTTATCTAAAGCTTGGATTGCAGTTATTGGTTCACAGCATTTGCTGTAAAAGAAAAAGGAAAAAATATATATTTAATCATTCTGACAGTCATAGATATAGTCTGCTTTTCTATATTTGCCACGTTTTTTTATGTTTAGTTAGACAAGTTAAAAACTGGTGTCATTTTTCCAGAAAACTGTTCATGTATTTAATAGATTACAACTAGTGATGATGAATATTCCTTGAATTTAAAAAAATAAAATACACTCGTTTGTAATAATAAATTGTGTTCTGTTTGGCTTAACTAATCAACTCAACAAAGTTTGTGTGTTTAATTGAAAAAATGAACTAGATCTATAATCAATGGGCAATAAAAGTCAGAGGAAATATATGTAGGAATAAAAAATAAATATACTGTTGATTCATTATAATTCGTGGGAAACCAATTTTCTAGGATTTCGTGGATATGGGTGAACCACGAATCTCAATGTGGAATGAAGTGCAAGTTTTTTATAGACTTATATACAGATTTTTGTAAAACCTCGAAATCAAATATCCATGAAAATACAATTTCTCCTTACTCCATCAGAAATTGGTACCTGCGAAAATAAAAGAATCCACAGCCGAGCCCACCCCCCCCCTCAATGGCCAAATAAAAGAAAATCAAATGAGTAATAACAGTCCATATAGAACTAAACAATAAACTAAAGATAGAGCAACACTAATATCCCCAAAAGGCAGGGTGTCAAATCAGTTGCTCCTAAATGATGATGATGATGATGATGGCTGCTTTACATCCAGCTGCAAATTAATATGCATATTCAGGACAAGAACATGTTGATGTAATATGAATATTCACCCTGCTTTGTACTAGACGAATTTGCTGAGCTGTATTTTTGACATGCTAGTTCACAAGGTAACAATCTGCAGGAAGACATGTCACCTTACCCAAACACATTATTCTGACTCCAAGCCGACCAGTCTTTGCTCTTACTCCTTAATACTGCGTGCTTAGCAGAGAAGCAGCAAATACCAATTTTTAAAGTCTTTAGTTTGACCCAGCCGAGACGAACACGAGACCACCAAGGAATGCTCCTAAATGATAAGTAGTTTCTGCTCCACTAGTGGTACCCAGTGTGCTTCTCATGTCATGTAAAAATTTAGTGATATTTAAGTCACATTTGGCATAAGTCTTAGATAGGGAAAGGAAACTAGTGGATTGTGACTAGTAAAAATGGAAGATACAGTTCACACAAGGGGAATACTCTGTTAGAAATTACTCTTTCAAGTGTAGATTTGAACTGGATGCTTTCTTGTAATGCTGTTTAAGTCTGGATTCAGGGGTTTGCCTTTAATTTATGAGTGAACATGAACAAATTTATAGAAATTAATTTCTCTAATTTTCATGCTTTTTTTTTACATTTCTTGATCAGTGTGAGAAAAAATATTTCTCATCTCTAGAGAAAAATTTGTTCTCAGCAAATGATTGGTCGAAATTTAATTAAGACGTCAAATTTTCAAGGTTTTTCTGAATTTCCTATTGTAACATCATGAAAAAAGGTGACCATGCCTGATGATGTCACATAAATAAAGAACACAACTTTCTGCAAATCATTCGAAAGGAAGGATAAACTTTGTTTTGATATCGTCTAAAAATCATTAGAGAAACAGATTCCACCCCTCAAACTCGTGTATTACGATATTTCTCCACTCTCAACAGTTAAATTTTAATTATTTAAAAAGCTTGGCAAACCTTGCGCTTTAAATATTAAAATTTTAACTGTCCCGAGTGGAGAAATATCGTAACACACTTGATGCAGTGGTGGAATCTATATATGATTAATCAATACTTTTCGTTATTTTGATCCTCGAAAGTTTAACTTGGTGTAATAATCAAAATTCATTTTTAATTTCAAAGTCCATTACCTTTACAGCTATTTGTCTAACCAAATCTTTTTGGTGTATGCATGAAGATTTTTCACAGAGTGCATTTGATTTTGAAATGGTTATTTTATTTAGGTACAATTATTTTTGAATGTGTTTCAGCTATTAGATTTTATGAATACCTTAGCTACCTTAGATCCACACCTACTCATGCACATTAAAGCTTAGCACAAAGAAACCTCAATACATGTATTGTGGAACTTGCATGAACACGACTGTACCTGATATGGCTAATTAATCCAGATGACACACAAGATATACACCTACAAGCAGTTCAAACTAAAAATGAAAGTTCATTATTTTACTAAAGTTCACAGAGTACAGCATAACTTCAATAAGCTTTTTTTTATCACAACACTCTATTATCTAGAAATGACAGATTTTTAGCTCCCCTGGCCCAAAGGGCCAAGTGAGCTTTTCTCATCACTTGGCGTCCGTCGTCCGTCGTCCGTCGTCCGTAAACTTTTACAAAAATCTTCTCCTCTGAAACTACTGGGCCAAATTTAACCAAACTTGGCCAATATCATCATTAGGGTATCTAGTTTAAAAAATGTGTCCGGTGACCCGGCCAACTAACCAAGATGGCCGCCATGGCTAAAAATAGAACATAGGGATAAAATGTAGATTTTGGCTTATATCTCTGAAACCAAAGCATTGAGAGCAAATCTGACAGGATAAAAATGTTTATTAGCTCAAGATCTATCTGCCCTGAAATTTTCAGATGAATCTGACAACCCGTTGTTAGGTTGCTGCCCCTGAATTAGTAATTTTAAGGAAATTTTGCCTTATTTGGTTATTATCTTGAATATTATTATAGATAGAGATAAACTGTAAACAGCAATAATGTTCAGCAAAGTAAGTTCTACAAATAAGTCAACATGACCAAAATGGTCAGTTGACCCCTTAAGGAGTTATTGCTCTTTTATAGTCAATTTTTAACAATTTTTCGTAAATTTTTGTTATCTTTTACAATCTTCTCCTCTGAAACTACTAAGATGAATTTAACTAAAGTTGTAAACAATCATCATTAGGGTATGTAGTTTAAAAATTGTGTTTGATGACCCCGCCCTCAAACCAAGATGGCCGACATGGCTAATAATAGTACATAGGGTAAAATGCAGTTTTTGGCTCATATATCTAAACCCAAAGCATTTCTAGCAAATCTTTCAAAAACAAAATTGTTCAGTAGATCAAGATCTATCTGCACTTAAATTTTCAGACCATTCAGGCAACCCGTTGTTGGGTTGCTGCCCCTGAATTGGTAATTTTTAGAAATTTTTTCAGCTTTTGGTTATTATCTTGAATATTATTATAGATAGAGATAAACTGTAAAGAGCAATAATGTACAGCAAAGTAAGACCTACAAATAAGTCACATGACCAAAATGGTCAATTGACCCCTTAAGGAGTTATTGCCCTTTATAATAAATTTTTAACAATTTTCATAAATTTTGTAAATTTTTACAAAATAATTTCCACTGAAACTACAGTGCCAAGTTCATTATAGATAGAGATAATTGTAAGCATCAAGAATGTTCAGTAAAGTAAGATCTACAAACACATCACCATCACCAAAACACAATTTTGTCATGAATCCACCTGTGTCCTTTGTTTAATATGCACATAGACCAAGGTGAGCGACACAGGCTCTTTAGAGCCTCTAGTTTAATGAGTCACACAAATAACTATTTAGATGCAAGAAGTAGTGATAGGAATTGGCTTGATATTATATGATTTAATTTATATGTAATTAAATTTTCTGGTAAAAATACAGGGACTTTCACTAGGATGCTGGACTAGTGAAGTAATTGTTAACAGCAGTAGTGCAATATGTTGTTGAATAAAAACAAAGAAGGAATTGGCTTGAAAATTATAATCTATTAATCAGAATAATCAGACAGCAAGCTCTGATTTGTTTTTTGACAATAGGTTTTTACTTTATTAGCAAATAATTTAGGAATTTAATAACGTAGTACATGTACATGCCAGAAATATTATTGAAGTAGAATTACACACACATACAGCTGCATACATGCAGAGTACTTCACACCAAAGCAGGGTGTATATGTACAAAATGGATATTTTCTGGATAATTCAAGGCATTCCTTGCATTTACAGGAAACTGTAAAAAAAAGGTTGCAGTACAAAATAACATTTTACAGAATTTTTTTATTTCTATCAAATACATGTATTGATTTTTGAATGAAAAAAAAATGTATTCATCAATCAATTTTCTATTATTATCCATACAAGGAACATTATTAGCAAAACATAAGTCTTCTGTCTATCGTGGTCATCAGAAGCTTATCTGACTGGAACAGTAGAGTGTTCTTAAATCATTTATTGATTTTTCAATAGTGTTATTGTAAAAGCTTGTAATATTGAATGTTTTTGCAATTTTACACAAGATATATCTGATTAGGCCATATCAAGGATTTTGCATGTCATGGAATATTGAAATTTAAAAAAAATATTTATTATAAGGAATTTCAAAATAAAAGTAAAGGGACAACATTTATAACATTGATTGATTGTTGGTTGCTTAACTTCCAGTGGCAAATATCACGAATGTTCAGAATGAGCATTTATAACATACAGTTATTGTATGGATAAGAACATATAAAATAAGGGAAAACAAATTCAACATACTAGTAAAATGACAATTCAATCAGAAAAAACTTAAGCACATGCTCACAAATGAAGGGGTCCCATGCCCTTATCACCATGGTTGTGATTATTTCATACAAGCAAAAATTATAATATATATCCTTACTAAATACACAATGAAATAATTCAAAGATTGGAATTTTGACCAAGGGTCAAATTGTTTTTAAATTATAAAACACAAGATACCTCATTGGAAAGGTGTAACTCTTATCTTTAGCATGCAAGAAGGGGCCTCGGTGGCCGAGTGGTCTAAGTAGTTACTACTGTAATCACTAGCCAGTCAACACTGAGGTTGTGAGTTCGAACCCCGCTCATGCGGGTGCACTCGATTCCAATCTTAATTGACTAGGATTGTCAGTTTTCCTATCGAAGGTTGGTGGTTTTCTCCGGGCACTCTGGCTTCCTCCACCAATAAAAACTGGCCGCCACGAAATAGCCCAAAAGCGGTGCTTAAAAGTGGCGTTAAAACACCAAAAATCAAAATCAATCAATCAATTTAGCATGCAAGACTAATTTGATTGAAGTAAAAACTCTGTAAGCTTTTTGATTTTCAGAAGACTCATACATGTATTGCATTCTTCTAAATAATATTTGTAATCATCAAAAGATGTTCCCAGAGTTGATTAGATTCCATTTAAGTTTAAAAATTATATAATTATGTTTTTATCTCTTTACAGGCAGTTTTCAGCAGGAGAGAAGCTATGGGAGAAGACAATTACAGTCCGTCACCATCAGTTGCCAGTAGTTGGTCTTTTGTGGATGATTAAAACTGACTTTCTTTTACCAAAAAATCTTATATTAACAAATTCTGTTGTTTTAAAAATTTCAGTACTTACAATCAATAAGAATAATAAGATTTTTTGGTGAAAAGACGTAAAAAGCCAAGCTAATGGAACTAAATTGCTTTTAATGGTGGCATGGTGAGGATTAAAGTTGAAAGAAATACAGAGAAAAAAGACTATAGACATTTTTACTTTAATGTTTAAGGATGCTATACTACATATTTGGAGAGAATCCTTTTGGAAAAGGGAAATAGCTATGATAACAGTTAGAGAAACTAAAACTGGTTTGCAGGCCAGATTGGGTTTGTTAGTTTATCTATGTACTGTTTAGTGTTATGAACAAAATATTTGAGTCTAAAAGTTGATATGGTGGCATTTTGTAAGCCTTTTTTCGATATCTTAGTTTTAAAGCTTGATTGCATAATTAAGGAAACTTTTGATTTTGACTGAGGCTTGAGAATAGGAAAACATGCAAAAAGGAAATTCTCATCATGCCAGAATTGGGTGATTTAATTTCTCAGGAATTTTGGATTTAGAAATGACAGTATTAAATGTAACAGCATTCTGGAAGGAACACCTTCGAGAATTTAGGTGTTTAGTTCTTGTTGTTTTAGATTTGGAACCCACAGTTTTTACTTTATTTACTTAATAAAATTCTTAATGTCAGAGATAAAGAGGGGAAAAAGCATTTGCTTCCAAAGGTTATTTTATAAGTTCTTATTTGTTTTAAGGGCTGGTTAATTTTGAACAGATATATAATATTTTAAGGAGGGGTATATGAAAAATCGAGGAAGATAATTTTTTTTCTCAAGATTGGAATTTTTGCAAATACCCCTTCTGAAAATGCTTTAACTGTTAAATTGCATTTCATATCAATTGAGATGTTTCAGTATATATTAAAATAAAGTTTGAAGTTTAAGTTGCTTATAAATTGTTGGGTATATACTAAAATGAATTGAAACAGGTAGAGGGAATTTGTAAGAATAAGATTTTATAATGTATTAATTGATGGTGGAATGTGAGTGGTTCAAAATTACATTTAAAGGAAGGAAATACTGTAAATTCAGAAATTATTGCGATGTTTTTATTATTGTGAAAAATGCGACAGGGTTATAATTGCAATAATTTAAACTCGCATTTTAGAATTTTTTATTTGAATTAAACAGGATTTTTCTCAATTTCGCAAAAATTAAAATCGCATATTAGTCTAAAATAACAAAATCGCAATAATAAATGCAGGCAATAATTTCTGAATTTACAGTACTCTAATTGTTATGGTGTTTTCTGTTATTTGATTGTAAGTTATAAGAAAAGGCATCTTTCAAATACATTTACGTTTGTGAAAGAGAAACAAACAACCGAAGTTTTAATATTATTGCTTAATACTGAAAAGAAATATAAGTAAACAGAGATTGGTTTAGTAAAAACCATTGATGCTTTAATATGCACATGCTTCTTGACAGCTTTACTTTATGTGTGTTTGAATCTCTAAATAATTTATTTAATGATGTTTTGATTCTTTAATAATTTTTTTACATTGACACAGTTGTTAATCATACAAATGGGCCAAAAAATGTTCTACTTTAAAAGCATGAATGAAAATCAACTTGTATAATACTCTATAATTTAGTGTATTTTTATAATGTAATGACCAAGTGCTTATATTTTGAAAATTGAATTTGATAATGAAAGTGTTGTTTTAGAAATATTGCATTTGCTATATAAATACACTACTTTTTAAAATACCATCGAAAATAATCATTAATATCATTATTTGATTAAAGTCGAGGGCATGTCCCACTTATTCTGGGATGAAGATTGAACTTGGTTCTTTTGTCTGTATATCTGATAAACATATATTCAATAGTCTATTTGCTGATTACCGATTAAATGCTGTTATTTCACACTTTTTAAAAAAAATTGCTTCCCTTTGTCAATGGCAGACTGGTTCTTTACTGGACAAAATGAGTTTCTGCCCATGCAAAGCTCCATATTAAAGTGAAAAGCAACTACTGATATCAAAAGTTTTTTGCTTAACAAATATTAAACATAATCAAAAGATTTGAAAAACGTAAAGGTTACACTTATTACTCATGATACATTTACTCTTTCTGCTAGCTCTTTGTTGTTTATGAAAGTTTATGTCCCTCCTAACGGAGACAACTAAAAATGGATCTCTATATACATAGTCAATTACGGGAATTGGCTAATAGACAACCAATGTCACTAAATTACAGACAATTAAACATCCTTAACAATAAGAATGTATGACCGTGGTGTGTTAACAGGTAGCCAATAGTACAATCTATATAGGTTGAGCTTTAATAGAGTAATGAACTTGCAATGGTATTTTTAAATGCAGTGTAATTGTTGAAATATTTTTATGGCATTTTTATCTGTTTTTTTGTTCGTGTAATAATTTTTGAAACAAACATGTTTTTAATGAATTAGTTTGACACATGGTGTATGGCTAGATTGCACATTGTTTTGGTGATGAAATGTAAATTTTGGTAAAATAGGGTTATACTAAATATTTATATTATTGTTGTGATAAAATCTTATGTTGAGAAAATCTCCATTTTACACTTGTTGAACATATCACTAAGTCTTATTGGACCAGAGCCCATCTTTCAATTATTTGATAAAAGTTTAACCTTGCACGCTTCTATTTATGTGCTCATGAAAAAAGATGGTTGTTTATAGTACATGTGTAGCTGGTTCTATTTTTGTTTTGAATAGATATACTATTCACTTATTTCTGTTTAGATTACTACAAATGGTATTGGTATATGCCTTTTAATTTAGGTCAGCTTTTGGTGGTTCATATGTTAAAGGGAAAGACTTGTCAAAATAATTGTTTTTTTATAACTTTATTTTATTTTGAACAAAAGAAATTATAATAATCAAAATTGACAACAACACTTCAAATGGTCTACAACTATATAAAGTTGCAAACCATTTGAAGTGTTCTTGTCAATTTTGATAATTATTTAAGTGTTGCATTCATTTGCATTATTTGACAACCTGGCATACCAAGGTATTCACTTCATGGACTCTACCAAAAGGATTCACACAGGCGTTGGTTCACCAGACGGAGTTTAAAAGAAATGATAGTTAAAGCATACTTCTATTACTGACACTGAAAAAAAAGCTTGATATTTACAATCAAGCTTGTTTTATACAGCTGTCAGATACCCCTAAAATGTTTAAACAGATTGAATTTGTTGAGCATTTATAAGATTTGCTATTTTCAGGGGAAAAACTGAAAGAACAACTGCAAATCTTTAATTTAAAAACTCTTTAATACATAATTTCCATTTTTTTAAGAGTTGCTTCCCTTTGCAAACAATTCATAAATTTAAAACAAAGTTGGTAACTTAAAAAGAACTATTGCTAAAACTTTGACTTTTATTGTAAGTTTTTATCAAAGACTCAGGAATTATAAATGAAAGAGCAGGATTTAATGAGAAGGACAGGAATGTCCTCTTTATCGTAAAATAGTTTTATATTTAGGAATATTGTATCCAAATGAATATATATTTATACATGTATTTAATATGGTTGTGATTGTAATAAGGAACATATTTTATTATCTATTGATAAACATGAGTAATTATCTCCTATAACAATGTCCAGGACAGGAAACAATTCAAATAATTTTAGTGTATGGACGATGAAATTACCCATAATCCTTTAGGTTTTAAATGAGAAATTGTGATTGCATGAGCTAAAACTATGGTCAAATATCCGGGCTTATATGACATTGTTTAAGCCTAAGGCGAGTTGAATAGCTTTATTTGTAGTTCTTCTTTTATGATCTTTATTTTTGTAACACTATTTTTTTTAATAATTAAAAAATCAGCACTGGAATGATACTACTATACCACTGCTGGTGAACTGTTTGTACCAGAGCTCAGTACTCAATGCTTTTGTACTGACACGATTTCATACATATTTTTCTAAAATACTATCATGTTGATCAATTAAGTAAACTATAAGAAACTTAGGTTCCTTCTCTCTGAGGCAAAGTTGACTTTAGGTGAATGTCTTCTGAACTGTTATATAGAATTAGTATTTCACACAGTTTCTTATCACCCTTATATTCTAAACCAACTTATTTTCACAAATATTTTATTTTACAATTAGCCCTTTCCAGCGATTTTGTTTTCATGATTTTCCTTATTTATTTATATAAGACAAGACTCAATTTGTTCACATTCAAGACAATTTATTTCGCTGATTTTTCTTCTAAGAATAAGTGGCGAGAATAAATTGTTCAGGAAAATAAGTTGGTTTACAGTAGTTGATTTTTTCTTCGAAAAATAGAGAGAAAATAAAGAATAATAATACTACATCACTCTCTCTTCTTTACTCTCTTTCTCACATGCCTATGAAGAAATCCCTATGCTACACATGAACATTGCATAATAATCTAAATATTTACATAATCAAGACCTGCCAATATTAACCCTTTACCTTTTTCAAACTTTTTTTTTCATTTGATGTCTCAGTTAAAGGGAGATAACTTACTCATGTTCATCCTTAACACATTTTTTTAGATCTCTTTGTTGTACGAGGGTCTGGTTGTGGGGTCTTTCATTTCTTTATTCTATAGTATTTTAAATATTTTGTCTCCATTCTTTATTTATTTTGCCCATTATTCTTTATATCTATATTTTAATACCCCATTATTCTCTTTTTTATAAAGATTGCTTATTTTTTCTCTGTTCTTTTTTGTTTGGTGCCATTTTTTGCACTTTTATTCCATTATTCTATATTCTGGAAACCCCATCTAGACCCTCTTGTACACATTTGCCTATGCAAATTACTAATCTGTGATACACTATTTTACCATTCCAGCAAACATTTATATCATTGTAGCTTTTTTCTTTAGTTATGAATATTTATGTTGTTTTAGTTCAGTGCCAAGTTATGATGAATTTTAATAAAAATAAAATTTCTAATAAATTGTCTTAAAGTTGATTGTTTTATTTTTCATTACTCATACATTTATTATTATGGTTAAAATTTAATTATAATATGATATTGAAATAGAAACAGCTGATTTGTTGCACCAAACGAATGAATGTTTCAGTGGAGCATATCATTACAGCATTGTATGTCTGTCTGTTTGTCAAGGTCAATGTCCTTGAAAAACAAGTGGTCTCCATTTGAAAATAAGTTTATTGTTACCAACATCATTCTACATAATTACAGTTGACCATAAAATATGGGTAAAATTTAACACTTGAAATCAAATGAATGTTTCTTCAGATAAAAAAAAAACCTTGTGAACTTTTGGAAGCATATATAGTAAAATGATACTTAAGAGGCAACGAAAGAAGCAGCCACAAGAAGGATGTATAACAGAATAGCTAGAAGAGAAGATAAAAAGGCAAGAAATATTCATTCAATCTTTATGAAAGAAAGCACAAGGGTCTGGATGGGGGTCCTTTATTTCTGCTATTCTTTAATTTATAGGTAATTTTTCTCTTTTCTTTTTATTATTGGACATTATTCGCTATTCTTTATAATTAAACACCCCATTATTCTCAATTCTATATTGTCTTGGCCTGTTTTTCTCTATTTATTTTTTTGGTCCATTTGTCTCTATTCTATAAACCCCATATAGACCCTCAAGCATATAATTCATATAACATTGTGTAAAGAAATAAGATGCTTTGTCTCTGAATATAAAACTTATCTACTTTCCTTTGTTAGCAGGGTGGTCACCTGAGAGAGAAATTTGATATTGTTCAGGGCAAAGCAAAACCGAAAAACTAAAATTGGTAATTTTTACTGCTTAGTCAAGCACACAACATTTACCAGTAAGTCATTTTGTACTCCCAGTACTGAGTAAAGTTTTATGATCAAGAGCCCAGGTATGTTCATAAGAATGCATATTTCAAAGATATAACTGTTTTAAGAATCAATATTCAGTAGTTTATTAAAGTCTCGTCACATTCATCTTTCTATTCCGTGGCACCTGAGATCTTATGACTTATGAGTTTGAATGACCCTTTGGTAATGTTTGCCTCTCTTATACAATAAACATTTCGAACAAGATATACAGGATACGTTTAAAGCAAGTACAATTTATTTATGTGCCATTCTTAAAAAAAATTTAAGAGCGAATATAAAAAGTACTAGTGCACATCATGCATATCGAACACCAATCAATATTAATCATATAAAACATGCAAATAAGTAATAAACAAATCTATGAAAAATGTGAAAAATTAAACAAAAACAAAAAACAAAAAATAATTTGTAATTATTATGAAAACCTAGGTTATTTTCATCATTGGGTTGGTGTCTGATAGACATATACCAAACATCTTATATTCAAAGTTAAGAAAACAGTTAAACAGGAGAAAGAGATATGCATGGCCAGGAAGACAGTAAAACTAGTAACCACCAGAAAGTTAGCAATGACAACAATCAGGAAATAAATAATAACCATAATGAATAAGATAGTAATTACTTTATCCAAGAAGTAGTTAATAACCATAACAAGGAAAAAGGTGTTTGCCATAACCAGGAAATAAGTAATAACCATAACCAGGACATAAGTAATAACAATAACCAGGAAATAAGTAATAACCATAACCAGGAAATAAGTAATAACCATAACCAGGAAATAAGTAATAACCATAACCAGGAAACAAGTTATAACCACAACCAGGAAATAAGTAATAACCATAACCAGGAACCAGGAAATAAGAACCATAACCAGAAAATAAATAATAACCTTAACCAGGAAATAAGTTATAATCATAACCAGGGAATAATTAGTTACTATAACGAGAAAGTAAGTCTTAACCATAGTCAGATAGTAAATAATATCCATTGTTAGGAAGTCAGTTATAATCTTATTTGGGAAGTTAGTGCTATACATAGTCAGAAAATAAGTATTAACAAAAGCCAGACACTCTGTTATAACCATATCTAGAAAATAAGTAAAAAAAAAGTCTAAGTAAACAATAGCCCTAATCAGTAGGTTAGCAATACCCATAGCTAGGGAGTCAGTACTTAGTACAGAAAGTAAATAATAACCATATTCAGGAAGTTAGAAATAACCATAATCATGCGGGAAGGAAGAAAAAAGCTTGGCCAGGAGGTAAGTAATAACCATAGTCCGGAAGTAAGTAATAACAAGTCAGAAATTAAGTAATAGCCATAACCAGAAGAGGTTATAATCATAGAAGTCAGAAATAACCATAACCAGGAAATAAGTAATAACCATAACCAGGAAATAAGTAAAAACCACAACCAGGAAATAGGTAATAACTATAACCAGGAAACAAGTAATAACAAAAACAGGACATAAGCAATAGCCATAACCAGGACATAAGCAATAACCATAACCAGGACATAATCAATAACCATAACCAGGACATAAGCAATGACTATAACCAGGAAATAAGTAATAACAATAACCAGGAAACAAGTAATAACGAAACCTAATAAATAAGTAATAACCAAAATCAGGAACCAGGAAATAAGTAATCACCATAACCAGAAAATAAGTGATTACTGCAACCAGGAACCAGGGATCAAGATATAAATAATAACCATAACCAGGAAATAAGTAATAATCATAACCAGGAAATAAGTAATAACCTTAATCAGGAAATAAGTAAAAACCATTTCTTGGAAATAAGTAATAACCTAAACCAGGAACAAGTAATAACCAAAACAAGGAAATAAGTAATAAACGGAACTAGGAAATAATTTAAGACCATAACCAGGAAATAAATAATAACCAAAACCAGGAAATAAGTATTAACCATAAACAGGAAATAAATTATAACCAAAACCAAGAAATAAGTAATAACCATAACCAGGAAATAAGAAATAACCATAATCCGGAACCAGGAAATAAGTAATAACCATAACCAGAAACCAGGAAATACAAACCATAACCAGAAAATAAATAATAACCTTATCCAGGAAATAAGTTATTACCTTATCCAGGGAATAAATAGTTATCATAACGAGAAAGTAAGTTATAACCATAGTCAGATAGTAAATAATATCTATTGTTAGGAAGTCAGTCAGTTATAATCATATTTAGGAAGTTAGTTCTATTCATAGCCAGAAAAAAAGTATTAACAAAAGCCAAGTCAGAAAGTAAACAATAACCCTAATCAGTAGGTTAGTAATACCAATAAGTAGGGAGTCAGTACTTACTACACAAAGTAAATAATAGCCATTTTTAGGAAGATAGAAATAACCATAAGCAGGAAGGAAGAAAAAATCAAGAACTGGCGGGTAAGTAAAAACCATAGTCCGGAAGTAAGAAAAAACAAATCAGAAATTAAGTAATAGCAATAATCAGAAGAGGTTATAATCATAGAAGTCAGAAATAACCATAACCAGGAAATCAGTAATAATCATAGTCAGGAAGAAAAAAATGACTATAACTAGGAGGTAAGTTATAACCAGTCAGAATATAAGTAATAACCAGTCAAGATGTAAGTAATAACCAGTCAGGATGTAAGTAATAACCATAGCAAGATATAACAACATAATCAAGAGCAAATAATTAAGTAAGACATACCTTTTTCTCTGGTTTGTTTTTGTTCTACTGTTGTTAAAATTCCAAATTTCGGTTGTTTTTTATTTATTTTTTTTGTTTTTCTGTTCTTTTTCAAATAAACTGATCATTCTATATGGATATTTTATAATTTAGAAATGTATATATGTCAGAAATAAGTAAACTAATAAGTACTTACAAAATTATTTATACTACTAATGGTTAACGAGACCGGGATAAGGTACCGGTATTTTCTGTATCCAACTAACAAATATTAAATTTATCAAGTATGATACACATTTACATAAAAAAAAATTAAAGATAAAAATAGTCCACTTCAATCTTTTTGTTTAGCTGCAAATACACACAAAGAGCGCCCATTATTTGCAATTAAACACAGTTCATCTGTTTCCGTATGATAATCCAGTGAAGAGAACCAGTTTATGTTGGGGATCTGAGTAAGTGACGGTAATTCGGTCGATGTTTCACATCCTCGGTTTATCGTAAACAAGCGGTTATTCGTAGCACAGGATATCAGCACATTATAACCATCATCACATGTTATACCACCTGCTTCACAAAGTCCTAGACAGCTAATAGTTGTTGTACTCTTTGATGTTAAATCAAGAAAGTGTACTTTGTTGTCCGAGCACCTTCGCGCGTACACTACCGTTTCCCACATGAAATTACACAAGACTAATTTTCCTCTGATGCTGGGAAAACTTTCAAGAATTTGACCGTTCAAATTTGTTTTAACAAGGCCACGGTGTAAGCAGTTAATGACTAGTCTCATTGTATCAGTGCAAGCTATCCCGTAACAACTATCATTCAGAGAAAAGTGTGTTTTTCTTTTAGACACCAAGTCAATAATCAACACTACCTGTGGGGTTGTCACGGCAACGGTTTCGTCATCCACTAAGCAAAGAGATTGTGGTCGGTACCCTAGCCGTATTTCATCTATTTTCTGTCCAGTTTTATAGTAAATGACAATTCGTTGTCGTGAAAGTTCGCCCATAATGACGTATCCATATTTATGATGAACACGGACACAGCTGATATATATATTCATCATTCGCTTTTCAATACAAAAACTAGATTTGTAATCAAAGCTCTCTGATATAATTGTATCAAGAAAAAAGTCAGTTACGGTTTCTTCATTAAACAGTAGAGAACATTCCATATTGATGTCTTTACTCGTTGGTGAATTGTCTATGTACGTCAAACTACTTTTTAGCAATGAGTTTCCAGGACCATTACCATGCGAATTGGGTTTCTCAGATAGCGGGGTTACATCACACAATGCTGATTCAATGACACATACAGCACCATTAATTTCAGGATTAGCATCCACACTACCTTTTGAATCTCTGTTAATAACCAAAAACAAAAACATAAGATGCGTTGAATATGGATATACACCCAAATTAGCCTATACTAAAGTA